GCATCCACAGAGTGACAAGCATCCACAGAGTGACAAGCATCCACAGAGTGACAAGCATCCACAGAGTGACAAGCATCCACAGAGTGACAAGCATCCACAGAGTGACAAGCATCCACAGAGTGACAAGCATCCACAGAGTGACAAGCATCCACAGAGTGACAAGCATCCACAGAGTGACAAGCATCCACAGAGTGACAAGCATCCACAGAGTGACAAGCATCCACAGAGTGACAAGCATCCACAGAGTGACAAGCATCCACAGAGTGACAAGCATCCACAGAGTGACAAGCATCCACAGAGTGACAAGCATCCACAGAGTGACAAGCATCCACAGAGTGACAAGCATCCACAGAGTGACAAGCATCCACAGAGTGACAAGCATCCACAGAGTGACAAGCATCCACAGAGTGACAAGCATCCACAGAGTGACAAGCATCCACAGAGTGACAAGCATTCCACAGAGTGACAAGCATCCACAGAGTGACAAGCATCCACAGAGTGACAAGCATCCACAGAGTGACAAGCATCCACAGAGTGACAAGCATCCACAGAGTGACAAGCATCCACAGAGTGACAAGCATCCACAGAGTGACAAGCATCCACAGAGTGACAAGCATCCACAGAGTGACAAGCATCCACAGAGTGACAAGCATCCACAGAGTGACAAGCATCCACAGAGAGTGACAAGCATCCACAGAGTGACAAGCATCCACAGAGTGACAAGCATCCACAGAGTGACAAGCATCCACAGAGTGACAAGCATCCACAGAGTGACAAACAGCATCCACAGAGTGACAAGCATCCACAGAGTGACAAGCATCCACAGAGTGACAAGCATCCACAGAGTGACAAGCATCCACAGAGTGACAAGCATCCACAGAGTGACAAGCATCCACAGAGTGACAAGCATCCACAGAGTGACAAGCATCCACAGAGTGACAAGCATCCACAGAGTGACAAGCATCCACAGAGTGACAAGCATCCACAGAGTGACAAGCATCCACAGAGTGACAAGCATCCACAGAGTGACAAGCATCCACAGAGTGACAAGCATCCACAGAGTGACAAGCATCCACAGAGTGACAAGCATCCACAGAGTGACAAGCATCCACAGAGTGACAAGCATCCACAGAGTGACAAGCATCCACAGAGTGACAAGCATCCACAGAGTGACAAGCATCCACAGAGTGACAAGCATCCACAGAGTGACAAGCATCCACAGAGTGACAAGCATCCACAGAGTGACAAGCATCCACAGAGTGACAAGCATCCACAGAGTGACAAGCATCCACAGAGTGACAAGCATCCACAGAGTGACAAGCATCCACAGAGTGACAAGCATCCACAGAGTGACAAGCATCCACAGAGTGACAAGCATCCACAGAGTGACAAGCATCCACAGAGTGACAAGCATCCACAGAGTGACAAGCATCCACAGAGTGACAAGCATCCACAGAGTGACAAGCATCCACAGAGTGACAAGCATCCACAGAGTGACAAGCATCCACAGAGTGACAAGCATCCACAGAGTGACAAGCACCCACAGAGTGACAAGCATCCACAGAGTGACAAGCATCCACAGAGTGACAAGCATCCACAGAGTGACAAGCATCCACAGAGTGACAAGCATCCACAGAGTGACAAGCATCCACAGAGTGACAAGCATCCACAGAGTGACAAGCATCCACAGAGTGACAAGCATCCACAGAGTGACAAGCATCCACAGAGTGACAAGCACCCACAGAGTGACAAGCATCCACAGAGTGACAAGCATCCACAGAGTGACAAGCATCCACAGAGTGACAAGCATCCCACAGAGTGACAAGCATCCACAGAGTGACAAGCACTCCACAGAGTGACAAGCATCCACAGAGTGACAAGCATCCACAGAGTGACAAGCATCCACAGAGTGACAAGCACCCACAGAGTGACAAGCATCCACAGAGTGACAAGCATCCACAGAGTGACAAGCATCCACAGAGTGACAAGCAATCCACAGAGTGAAAAACATAGCATCCACAGAGTGACAAGCATCCACAGAGTGACAAGCATCCACAGAGTGACAAGCATCCACAGAGTGACAAGCATCCACAGAGTGACAAGCATCCACAGAGTGACAAGCACCCACAGAGTGACAAGCATCCACAGAGTGACAAGCATCCACAGAGTGACAAGCATCCACAGAGTGACAAGCATCCACAGAGTGACAAGCATCCACAGAGTGACAAGCATCCACAGAGTGACAAGCACCCACAGAGTGACAAGCATCCACAGAGTGACAAGCATCCACAGAGTGACAAGCATCCACAGAGTGACAAGCATCCACAGAGTGACAAGCATCCACAGAGTGACAAGCATCCACAGAGTGACAAGCATCCACAGAGTGACAAGCATCCACAGAGTGACAAGCATCCACAGAGTGACAAGCATCCACAGAGTGACAAGCATCCACAGAGTGACAAGCATCCACAGAGTGACAAGCATCCACAGAGTGACAAGCATCCACAGAGTGACAAGCATCCACAGAGTGACAAGCATCCCACAGAGTGACAAGCATCCACAGAGTGACAAGCATCCACAGAGTGACAAGCATCCACAGAGTGACAAGCATCCACAGAGTGACAAGCATCCACCAGCAGAGTGACAAGCATCCACAGAGTGACAAGCATCCACAGAGTGACAAGCATCCACAGAGTGACAAGCATCCACAGAGTGACAAGCATCCACAGAGTGACAAGCATCCACAGAGTGACAAGCATCCACAGAGTGACAAGCATCCCACAGAGTGACAAGCATCACAGAGTGACAAGCATCCACAGAGTGACAAGCATCCACAGAGTGACAAGCATCCACAGAGTGACAAGCATCCACAGAGTGACAAGCATCCACAGAGTGACAAGCATCCACAGAGTGACAACGAGCACTCCACAGAGTGACAAGCATCCACACAGAGTGACAAGCATCCACAGAGTGACAAGCATCCACAGAGTGACAAGCATCCACAGAGTGACAAGCATCCACAGAGTGACAAGCATCCCACAGAGTGACAAGCATCCACAGAGTGACAAAAAAGTGACAAGCATCCACAGAGTGACAAGCATCCACAGAGTGACAAGCATCCACAGAGTGACAAGCATCCACAGAGTGACAAGCATCCACAGAGTGACAAGCATCCACAGAGTGACAAGCATCCACAGAGTGACAAGCACCACAGAGTGACAAGCATCCACAGAGTGACAAGCATCCACAGAGTGACAAGCACCCACAGAGTGACAAGCATCCACAGAGTGACAAGCATCCACAGAGTGACAAGCATCCACAGAGTGACAAGCATCCACAGAGTGACAAGCATCCACAGAGTGACAAGCACCACAGAGTGACAAGCATCCACAGAGTGACAAGCATCCACAGAGTGACAAGCATCCACAGAGTGACAAGCATCCACAGAGTGACAAGCATCCACAGAGTGACAAGCATCCACAGAGTGACAAGCATCCACAGAGTGACAAGCATCCACAGAGTGACAAGCATCCACAGAGTGACAAGCATCCACAGAGTGACAAGCATCCACAGAGTGACAAGCATCCACAGAGTGGAACAAGCATCCACAAGAGTGACAAGCATCCACAGAGTGACAAGCATCCACAGAGTGGACAAGCATCCACAGAGTGACAAGCATCCACAGAGTGACAAGCATCCACAGAGTGACAAGCATCCACAGAGTGACAAGCATCCACAGAGTGACAAGCACCACAGAGTGACAAGCATCCACAGAGTGAAAGCACCACAGAGTGACAAGCACACCAACAGAAAGTGACAAAGGACGATCCACAGAGTGACAAGCATCCACAGAGTGACAAGCATCCACAGAGTGACAAGCATCCACAGAGTGACAACACCAAGAAAAAAAAAAAAAAAAAAAACAAAGTGACAAGCATCCACAGAGTGACAAGCATCCACAGAGTGACAAGCATCCACAGAGTGAACAAAAGTGACAACACACAGAGTGACAAGCACCCACAGAGTAAAAAAGTGACAAGCATCCACAGAGTGACAAGCACCACAGAGTGACAAGCACCACAGAGTGACAAGCATCCACAGAGTGACAAGCATCCACAGAGTGACAAGCATCCACAGAGTGACAAGCATCCACAGAGTGACAAAGACACCCACAGAGTGACAAGCATCCACAGAGTGACAAGCATCCACAGAGTGACAAGCATCCACAGAGTGACAAGCATCCACAGAGTGACAAGCATCCACAGAGTCCAAGACAAGCATCCACAGAGTGACAAGCATCCACAGAGTGACAAGCATCCACAGAGTGACAAGCATCCACAGAGTGACAAGCATCCACAGAGTGACAAGCATCCACAGAGTGACAAGCATCCCAACAGGAGTGACAAGCATCCACAGATGAAAATACAGAGTGACAAGCATCCACAGAGTGACAAAAAAAAAAGCATCCACAGAGTGACAAGCATCCACAGAGTGACAAGCATCCACAGAGTGACAAGCATCCACAGAGTGACAAGCATCCACAGAGTGACAAGCATCCACAGAGTGACAAGCATCCACAGAGTGACAAGCATCCACAGAGTGACAAGCATCCACAGAGTGACAAGCATCCACAGAGTGACAAGCATCCACAGAGTGACAAGCATCCACAGAGTGACAAGCATCCACAGAGTGACAAGCATCCACAGAGTGACAAGCATCCACAGAGTGGCAAGCACCACAGAGTGACACCCTAACGCTTAATGGCTACAAGTGACAAGCACCACCCTCAGGTTCTGAACAATCGAATGCAGACACACAGTTGGTAGGGAGAGTGTGCATGTGAAGAGCGTGAGAGGGCAGGCTGAGTGAGGGGGGGTTAAGAGGGGGAGGGTAGGCAGTGTGGGAGGGCCGGAACCCAGAAAGCAGCTGCTAACCCTCCCTCCCAGAAAGCACATATTTGGTGGCTGGATCAGTCTATTTGGCCCCAGTAGCCCGCATACCGTGTATTTCTCAATGCCAGTGCGTGTGAAAGGGGAAGGCACCCCCTGCTTGACTGTGAAGTTGCCCATGATGAGATCGAGACCATCCTGTTACAGGCACGAGGAGATTGTGGCGAGGGGACGAAGGGAAACAGGGTGCATGGGGACGAAGGGAAACAGGGTGCATGGGGACGAAGGGAAACAGGGTGCATGGGGACGAAGGGAAACAGGGTGCATGGGGACGAAGGGAAACAGGGTGCATGGGGACGAAGGGAAACAGGGTGCATGGGGACGAAGGGAAACAGGGTGCATGGGGACGAAGGGAAACAGGGTGCATGGGGACGAAGGGAAACAGGGTGCATGGGGACGAAGGGAAACAGGGTGCATGGGGACGAAGGGAAACAGGGTGCATGGGGACGAAGGGAAACAGGGTGCATGGGGACGAAGGGAAACAGGGTGCATGGGGACGAAGGGAAACAGGGTGCATGGGGAGGAAGGGGGAAAGTACACCCTGCTGCTTGACTGTGAAGTTGCCCATGATCACATTAAGCCCATCCTGTTGCAGTAACGAGCACATGAGGATTATAACGAGGGGAAGGAGAGAAACAGGGTGAATGGGGATGGAGGGGAAAGGAACCCCATGCTTGACCATAAGGTTCATTATGAAAAACCTCGAAAATGACTCCAGTACACGGATGGGAAACCGGGACAATGGGAAAGGTGACGCTTGTTGAAGTTCACCCGGTGGATGGGGATGCAACAGGGCGAGAACGCGCTGCTTGATAATTATTTGAGGCGCCTCAAAGAACGCATTGCTTGATAATCTAACTTACCGCGGGTTGAAATTCACCCGGTGGATGCAACCGGAGGAGCGCGTTGCTTCATCATTTAACTTACCTCTGATCAAGCACTGACCCATCATTCCAGGACACTGGGACTACAGGAAACAGACACAGTTCACAGTTCTCAGATTGATCTTTCACCTGCCTCACACCATCCGTGAAGTTGGTGAAGAAGCACTGCTGCACAGCACTGATGCCATCTTGAAGGAAGCCTTCCTCTGTATCACTCGTGATTGCCACCCCCAGTTGTATCACCCTCACTTGCATCACTCTCACCTGTCTCACACCGTCCGTATAGTTGTTGAAGAAGTACCGCTGCACAGCACTGACCCCATCTTGAAGGAAGCCTTCCGGGCTGCGTTTGCCGTACCTGAGGGGAATAGAGGATGTCACAGTGACGGACAACTGAACACGTGGCAGGAGAGGTGGACAGTGGATGTGGCGTGATGACACTTGAGTCGACTCAAGGGAGGATGTCGCAGTGACGGACAACTGAGGGCGTGACAGGAGAGGTGGACTGTGGATGTGGCGTGATGACTTTTGAGTCGACTCAAAAGAGGATGTTGCAGTGACGGACAACTGAGGCGTGACAGTTAAGGTGGTGGGTGTGGCAGTCAGCAGATGATAATCCAACTTCAAAAACTTCTCACATGCAAGGTGCTGTAGCACGGTCTCACATACTGCACAAACTCTCACATACCGCACAAAGTCTCCCTTGAGCGCTGGTGTGCCAGTGTACTGCGTGCTGATGTCATCGCCATGGTCCGCCCACACTGGAAGAAAGAACGTTGTGGGGAGAGGGGTGGGAGAGGAGAGGGAAAAAGGAAGATGAGGGCATAGGAAGATACTGTGCTGATGTCATTGCCATGGTCAGCGCATCTCCACACTCGATGCACGGAGAAAGACGGGGAGAGAGAAGAAAGGAGCGACGGGGACAGGGGGGTAAAGTAGATTTTTGAGGCGCCTCAAAAATTGATGTCATTGCCATGGTCAGTGCATCTCCCCACTAGATGCACTGAGAAAAACGGGGAGAGAGAAGAAAGGAAAGACAGGGACAGGGGGTTAAAGAACTCTCACACAAGTCTACTCTACTTTGACACTCGTGTGTACTACTGATGACAGCAGAGTCCCATACACGACGAAATTGTTACACAACGTCTACTCTGGGGCGCCAGTGTACTGCTGATGAAGCCACTGTGCTCTACCAGTGCCACCCGCGCATCCTACCCCCACTCACTCTTTGTCTCACACACCTGAATTACTTCCTCCACTCACTGATATTGTACTTAGCATTGATGTCACTGTGCTCTGCGACCCGCACATCCTACCCCCACTGTCTCTTTGTCTCACACGCCTAAATTACTTCCTCCACTCACTGATATTGTACTAGATGCCACCCGCGCATTGATGTCGCTGTGCTCTGCCACCCTCTCATCTTTCCCCAGCAGTCCCACCTTCCCCCTTTCACGCATCACTACCACCACCCTCCCAAATCTCTCCCCCCCCCACCACCCGCCAAACTCACTGATCTTGTACTTGGCGTCAAAGTCGCTGTGCTCCGCCACCTGCTCGTCCTTCCCCAGCAGCCCCATCTGCCGCAGCTCTTGCTCCAACACGTGCCGGGCGAACCAGCTCTGAGAAAGGGAGAGTACAGGGTTGGGTGGGGGGGAAGGGGAAGAAGGCAACAGCAATAAGAAAGGAGCAATGGTCGAGTCACGAGTAACCCAGCAGCACCATCTGCCGCAGCTCACGCTCCAACGTGCCGGGCGAACCAGCTCTGAGAAGGGTGCAGGGGGAGGAAGAGGTATGGAAAGGGGTTGCACGGGTTGGGCCTATAGAGTCACCCAGCTGTCCCATCTGCCACAGCTCTTGCTCCAACACATGCCGGGCGAACGAGCTCTGGAAAAGGGGAGGGGGGAAGGTGGTTTTACGGGTTGAGCCTATTGAGTCATCCAGCTGTCCCATCTGCCACAGCTCATGCTCCAACACGTGCCGGGCGAACCAGCTCACGGGGAGAGAGAGAAGTGGGACGAGGGCAGTCGCAGGTTGGTGGTGAACACATTGAGTGAAACTCCACCTATTATCACCCTTTGGCAATCCATCACCGGCACCTAGGAGGAGCCACCAGGAAATCCACCTAAAAACCCACCTGAGTGAGTGACGTTGGCATTGACTTACAATACAAGTCACTTGGAGGTCAAGATATTCCATGGAAGCGGCTCTGGTAAACGCTTAGTGCTGTATAGCCTGGTTATTGAGAGTAGAATGTTTTCTTGATGAGGACTGAGTGACGTTGGTATGGTCAAGGCAGTCCGCGCGGTTGGCGCTTGCTGTGCCATGCTGCTACTACCTGATACAACACCTGAAAGGCACCTGGGCGCCCACATGAGTGACGTTGGAGCAGTCAAGGCAATCAACACAGCCGGTGTGCACTCTGCCCTGCTGCTGCTACCTGAGAAATCACCTGAGAGGCACCTGAGCGCCCGCCGAGTCGTTGGTGCGGTCAAGGCAGTCAACGCAGTTCGTGCGCACTGTGCCCTGCTCCTGTTACCTGAGAAATCACCTGAGAGGCATCTGAGCGCCCACCTGAGAGACGTTGGTGCGGTCAAGGCAGTCAACACAGTTGGTGCGTACTGTGCCGTGCTGCTGCTTCTGCACCGAACCGTCCTTCCCTTGCAGGAAGAAACTAGTGGCAGGGAAGATGGGGGGTAGGAGGAAAGGGTGAGAATGGGACAATCGGTCCAGGCTGAGTAAGTGCGCTGCTGCGTGTGCACCGGCTGGTCAGACCGGTCCTTGCGCTGCAGGAAGAATCTGGGATGGGGCGAAGGGAAATAGGAGAGGGGAACAAGGGTGAGGATTTTGCCTTAGGCTAGGTTAGGAATCATGGTTTGAGGCGCCTTGAATCAAGTTGGTGCGCACTGTGCCATGCCGCTTCTTCTGCAAGGGTGAACCATCCTTGCCTTGCAGGAAGAAACCGGAGCAGGGGACAAGACAAGGAAAAAATTCTTGAGGCGCCTCAAAAATAGACTTCTGCACTGAACCGTCCTTGCCTTACCTCGCAGGAAAAAACTGGAGCAGGGGACAAGACAAGGAACCCAATCCATCCGTGCCTTGCAGGATAAAAACTAGAGGAAAGGGTGAGAAGACATCGTTTAATAAGCATCGATGCTTGTCCGTGCTTCTGCACCAACCCATCCTTGGTTTGCAGGAATTAACTCAGGCAGGGCAAAGGGTGGTGTGGTGGGGATGGGTGACGGGACATGGCTGAGATGTTAAGGTGAAGAGGAATGATGAAATGATGTTGGTCAATCGGACTATCCAACTGCCCAGCTCCTGAGTAGACTTATAGAGTGGTGGCACTCGGAATCGATCTTTTGGCCAATTTGGTGGTGCAGTGGAGAATGCTTGAGCCGACTAGAAGAAAAGGGGTGCGTCACTAACTCACCCCTGCGCCTCCATGTCTTGGCCGATCTGGTCGTCCAGCAGAGACAGCTGGTGGAAGTTGGTGTGGCCGCACTCCTTGTGGAAGTCAAAGGGCACGTAGCTGGGAGGGGGAGGGGGGGTGGGAGGTTGCGGGTGGGGGGGGGGGGGGGGGATGTGAAGTAGCGCGGAAGTGCATGACGCTAGGTGTGGCAGCACCCCTAGTGGAAGTCAAAGGAGGGACGGGGGGAAAGGGGGGGGGGGGGGCGAAGGGCGGGAGAATCTGAAGCGCGGAAGTCTATTTTTGAGGCGCCAAAAAAATAGACTCCTCACGCGGGGGGGGGGGGGGGAGGGGAAGGGCGGGAGAATCTGAAGCACGGAAGTGCATGACACGACACTAGGTGTGGCAGCACCCCTTGTGGAAGTCAAAGGGCACATACCGGAGACAGAGAGAATGCAGGGAGAGAAGAGAGGAGAAGAATTATTGGTGGCAAAAGCACACATGCGCTGCTTGGACAAAAGAGTTTGGACATCTTACATGAACGCTTGTTAAGTAGCAGCACTCCTGAGCACATGGAAGGAAGAGCCTCAAGCCTCATAGCACAAATATCAGAGGTGAATGTGGGATGTGAGACGTACCAAATATCAGAGTCCTAGTTTGTTCAGTTCAGTTGAATCACAAGTCCGTTCTCAACAAGTGGAAGCGTTTCGGGCTTATAGCATAGAGTTGGCGTGATGCGGGATGTGAGACATACCGAATATCAGAGCCCCCAATCGCGTTCACATGCTGTAGTGTATGCTGACCACTGGATGCTACATACAGATGCTACATACATCCGAACTACACTCACGGAGGGCATAATGGCATAAGGGTCGTACCGAATATCAGCGTCTTTAATTGCGTTCACAGCTCCAGCGTATGCTGACCCGATGCGACTCTCCCCGCCATGCTGCATACATGCATTGGTATGCCATACCACCCCATGAGATGGCATCACATGTCATGCCATGACATGACAACAGGGACATGCCATACCATGTCATGACATTTCATGCCATACCGCATCACAGCGAACAAAAAACAGCATGGAATAAAAGAGAACGGTACAGGGTTCAGGGTTTAGGGTTTCGGCACAAGCACAAGAATTCAGAATCATTAGTGAAGGAAAAGGGAAGAAAAAGCATTCGCAACAAGAGCAGCTAAACATAGTGAACCAGAAACACACAAAAATGAGAGAAGATGCAACAAGGCCCACCACTAACACTGGACTTTTCGGCATTTTCTCTTTGTGCACCTAGCTGGGTCAGCAGATGCATGACTACCCAGCCTCCCAAGCAACTGATTGAACTGACCAGCATAAAAGATCGTCCTTTTTCCCAAAGCGTGGTTGACCAGGTCAACAGATAACCATGTCTCTCATTCTGCAAGACCCAGCTGACCAGATCAACAAACACCAATGTCTTTCCTTCCCCAGTACCTGGTTGATCAGGTCAACGCATTACCACTCTTTCCCCAGTACCTGGTTGACCAAGTCAACACATGACCACTCTTTTCCCAGTACCTGGTTGATCAAGTCAACACATGACCAATCTTTCCCCAGTACCTGGTTGACCAAGTCAACACATGACCAATCTTTCCCCAGTACCTGGTTGACCAAGTTAACACATGACCAGACCACTCCTTCCCCAGTACCTGGTTGACCAGATCAACGGCAATGACTGGGCCATATATCTCGTTGAGCCCTCTTAGGTGCTGCCTCAGGGGCGCCTCAAAGGGTTGCTGGGGGGGCGAGAAGAGGGAGAGGAGGGGGAGAGGAGGGGGAAGTGCGGCCAGATAGGGACGGATGAGGGTGGGAGGTTGACAAAGGTCTCCTTGAGCCTTCTTAGGTGCTGCCTGGGGGGCCTCATAGGGTTGCTGGGGGGAAGAGGAGGAAGAGAGGGGCCGATGGGAAAGATAGAATTATTGGATGGAAGGAAGAGGTTGAGAGAAGGTGCAGGAAGGGGGTGTTGGCCACTGCTAGTGTCTGCGCTGAATAACCGATGCTTCTCCCAAAACGGATATCATATTATCATACCGAAGCTGTGACAACAGTACGGACCTTGGGCTTGAATGTGAGGCCAACAGCCCTACAGTCAATTTTTTTTATCCGACAATGCTTGTCTGTGATACCACCGATTCTCACAAGTATCGATTACTGCAGCTGCGACAACGGTACTGAGATTGGGCTTGTGCGTGATGTCAGCCAAATGTCAGAAACATTACATACCGCAGCCGTGACAACAGTTTGGAGCTTGGGCTTGTATGTGAGGTCAACGATCTGCTCCCACAGCACAGGGATGGAGCCCCGGACCTGAGAGAAAGAGAGAGCACAAGGGAACAAGCAAGCAAGCAGGCACAACGCAAGCAATGAGGTACATTCTAAGCCGGGCCAAGCAGTGTGTACGTGTGTGCGAGGTCAACGATCTGCTCCCAATAGCACAGGGATGGAGCCCCTAACCTGAAAGAGAGAGCGAGCAAAAGGGATGGAAGGCACGACGCAAGTGATGAGATACATTTAAAGCCGGGCCGAGCAGTGTGTACGTGTGTGTGAGGTCAACGATCTGCTCCCACAGCACAGGGATGGAGGAGGCCCTGACCTGGAGATGTACCGAGCGGAGGGAGTGAACATGCATAGATGAATGAAGCGATGGCAGAACACACACATGTAGACTATGTAGATGAGCTTGTAAGTGAGGTCTTCAACCAACTGCTCCCACAGCACGGGGATGGAGCCCCTGACCTGGAGAGAGAGAGAGAAAGGAAACAAGGGTGACGGTGCTCCTGCAACGGGTGCAGTAGCACCGTTACCCTTACTCGATAAACTGCTACCTTCTGCCTCAGCTGCACGTAAGATGCCACAGCGCCGCCATCCACTGTCACCACTTGCTCCGTCTCGACAAAGTAGTTTCGAGGCCCCTCTGCATTGCCTTCGTCAGAGCCACTGCCTGTGTCAGAGCCTTTGCACCTCACCTGCACGTAGGATGCCACAGCGCCGCCATCCACTGTCACCACTTGCTCCGTCTCGACAAAGTTGGCCACTGCGCCCTTCGAGTCAGCGCCCCTGCGCCACATGCGAGTGCCTGGAGCAAGGGGAGAGGGGAGGAGGGGAGGGGAGGGGGGAAGAGAGGAGGGGAGAAGGGGAGAGGAGGGCTGTGAACAAAGTTGGCCACAGCGTTCCTTGGAATCAGGGCCAGGAGAGAGAGATGAGACAAGAAACACAGTGTGAGATCGATTCTGCGTAACAATAGAACGAGCGGCGCTTATCATACGCTGGGGCAATCTGCGAGAGTGACTTCGACTGATCACTTGGCAAACTTGAACCTCTATTGGACGTTGCCAATCTGTCTTTTCAGTTACCACAGCAATCGAGTGCCTAGGGGCTTACCGATTCTGTCAACGCTGCGGCGTGCAATGAGAGTGACCTCGACTGGACACTTGTTGATTGCTGATTGGATGCTGGCGAAACGTGCTAGGTTGATAGGCGCACAGGAATAATGCCATCAATAAGGGAGGATTTCGAATGGAAAGGCCAGCAAAAAGAGAACCAGACAAGAAGGCGGATGAACAGGAACCGACAGGGGATGGAATCAAGAGCAGGGAGTTGCAGGAATGGGAATGAACAGCAGGGAATGGGATCAGGTAAGAGAGAGGAGGTTCCTGGTTAAGGAAAGCTGTGTTCGAGGGAATAAGGATGAAGGGCTTAGAAATTACTTCAGCATGGATTGATAGGGGTGGAGAAGATGGGAGAAGGCAGTGGGGAGTTGATCGGAGGACCCCAAAAGATACAAAGAGGGGGAGTTAAGGCACAGGAAAACTGCTCTCGAGAGGAAGCATAGAAGGAATGCACAAGGCGCACACAAGTATGAAGCAGACGAGCAGGGGAGGGGCATATAAGACTAGAGGCAGGAAGCTGGGCGGATATTTCCTTGCATCACTGGGACGACAAACGGAGCAGCCTGGGAGTTTGGAGGAGTCAGGGCAGGAAAACAGTGGGGGGGGAGGAGAGAACCAGAGGGAAGAGGGAGTGAGGGTGTGTGGAAAATGAGAAGCCTGAAAACACTGGAGCTAGAGAGGATGCAAGATGTGGGCGTTAGACAGTGCAAAAAGATTAATGAGAATGCCACAGGAAGACTAAGGCTGTATACAGGCAGAAATTTCTTTTGATTTTATGGAAAAAGTGCCACAGAATAAAAAAGGCTCCCAAACAGGACTGGGAGAGAAGCAAAAAGAAAGCAGCAGTTTCTGGCTCACCTCAGGGCAGCTTATCGCTCGCCGCTGGAGATGAAGGTTCCAAAAGAAACGATCATCCACCTGGACTGATGTGCACCCAGAGCAAGCACTCCCACACTGCCATGTGGCTACGTACGCACTGTAGGCTCACCTCACAGCTGTTTCTGGCTCACCTCAGGGCAGCTTATCGCTCGCTGCTGGAGATGAAGGTTCCAAAAGAAACGATCATCCACCTGGATGTGTGCCGATAGTGTGCACACATACGGGCACACACGCACGCACACACGCACGCACGCACATGCACACACGACACGCACACATGCACGCACGCACGGATGGATTGGACGGACGAGATTGAGTTTGAGAGGTTGTTGACAATGGGGAAGCCACAGGATGGCACTAAATGACATGAGAAAGACACGATTCGTGAAGCGCCATAATGGCACGTGAACATGTAAAGGGCGTTTGAACATTTGATGGAACACGTCATTGACATAGCGGTGACTTCTGAGTCTACCAAAATAACCTTAATCTGTGATGAGCGGCATGCAAACACGACTAAGTGATGACTCTTGATTTGACCACATGTGATGACATTACGTGTGAGGCATGAGCGCTGACTGACAGCAATGCACATGGATGGATGCACGCCCACATAGCTTACCTGCTTCCACAAGGGTTTTGGACCAGTGCTCGCCTCAGCTAGCGCCTCCCTCTGTAAGCTGCATGAAGCATTGATATAATAAAAAATCAGGGAAAAATACAAAACATAACAAAAAAACGAGAATGGCATGTTCATGATGGGCATACGCCACTGTAAATTGACGCATAGCACGTGGTGCAAGATGCAGGTCACGATGTGCGGAGTCCACAACTCATGCCATGCCAGCAGGGCACTTAGGCGCGATAAGCGTGATGCATAACCCATTCCAAGGAAGCAAACGGGCGCGTATAAAAACGCATTCCATAAGGTCCTCGAAATGCACAACCAGCTGAATGACCCGCATGCGGAGCTTGCTTACCCCATCCCCTACATGATGACGCTGACGCCAGCACACCTGGTGGTGATGTCAGCGCTGTAGGAGAAGAAGAGGCCGTGAGCTGACAAGGCAGAGCGCAGGCGAACCAGGTACTCCTCCTCGTCCGCTTTCTGGGAGATAAGTGGCATTAGATAGAGGTATCGGATATAGTCAGTCAACAGAGGCATCAGTTTTGAGGTGCCTCAAGACAAGGCAGAGCGCAGGCGAACAAGGTACTCCTCGTCCGCTTTCTGGGAAATGAAGGGGATCGGTGGGAAGGTACCAATCGAGTTTTGAGGCGCCTAATGACAAGGCAGAGAGCAAGCGAACATGTTACTCCTCTTCGTCCGCTTTCTGGGAAATCAAGGGGATCAGTTGGGAGGTATCAATCAACCTTTGAGGTGCCTCGTGACATGGAATGAAAGAGCACAGCCGAGCAAGGCACTCCTTCTCGTCCGATTCCTGGGAGATAACGAGCTGACGGGCGTCAAATGCAGAGGAACTATACAAGAGCGTCAGCCATGCATAGAGAGACTGGGAGGACGCGAAGAACCTTATCGATCAGCCATTCACTGAGGAAGACGACTCATCAAAACCTTTCTAGTATCAACCAATGTATCATTGAACAGAAAGGCTGGTGCTTGAAGAGAAAGCCTGGTCCGGCTCTTTTTAGTACGCCGTCCACGCAGACCTCCCTTCTTCTGCCTCCCTCAGTTTGCCTTGTGCTCGCATTCCTCACTTGTGACCCTGCTCCCGTAACACTCTCAAGCCATGTTACAAACCTGTTAGAAACCTGTTACAAACCTGTTACACAAGCCATGGGACCTGTCGGTCACAAGCACACGTGCACCAGGTTGGGTGTCAGGGAGGCAGTGGAGATGCAGGCATTTTTGGGAATTCTTATAAATCTCTCACAAGGACTTAACTCCCTCGCATCGTTATCGGTTGGGTGTGAGGGAGGCAGTGGAGAAGATGCACGACATATGATATCGAAGGTCGTTGCCCTGTTTTGAGGCGCCTAAGTAACAGACCCGGCAGCACACGCACCAGCAACACTGAATCCCCCCCCTTCGTTACGAGCACGGCCTCACCTGCTTGGGTATGCGATGAGGGAGTCTTTGGTTGGAGCGGCACGGCACTCTATCAAAGGCATGCGATGCACTTCCCTAGCCCCAACCCTGATCTCGTTACAAGCACACGCGCACCTGCTTGGGTGTGAGGGAGTCTTTCGAGCAGCACGGCACTATATCGAAGGCTGTCGCTCTGAACACATGTGCGCCCTTGAACGCACCGACCAGCTGCCGGTTGGTCACCAGCAGCACGTACGTGCCTGAGGAAGAGAATAGAGAAGGGGGGGAAACGAAACTATTTGAGGCCCCTCGAAGCACAGAACACGTGCATGCCCTTGAAAGCGCCGACCAGCTGCCGGTTCGTCACCAGCAGCACATACGTGCCTGGGGGAGAAACGGCAAGGGCGAAGCACATGGCGATGGAATGGTGAATACATTGCGGTACGATCATAGGCAAGAGAAGGCAGGCTGACATAGGCAGGAGACGGCAAGCTGACATGACCCAGGAGGACCCACTCGAACCAAGGGTGCGATTAGGCGATTGGACCCAGCCAAGCTGCAAGGGGATCTAACCCACCTGCGAGAAGCAATAAAAAGCCCAGGAGAAGGCACGCTGACTTGACCCGAGACCCACTTGAACCTCGGGTGGGGTAAGCGACTGTACAGTTTGAGGACATTGGGGAGTGAGTAACCAAGCTGCAGCGGGTGGTAACCCACCTGCAAGGAGTTCGATGAAGCCCAGGAGAAGGCAGGCCGACTTGGGCTCTGAGACCGTTCCGGCGAGAGATGGCTCGCCTGAAGTACCAGGGAGGGAGTGACGGCAACACGGGGGAGAAATGAAAGCCAAGGCAGTGAGTGTCAGGGAGGAATGTGCGTCGCAAGGGCGGACATTTGGCGAAACATCTGGTGAAACACTTGGTGAAACATCTGGTGAAACACTTGGTGAAACATCTGGTGAAACATTTGGCGAAACATCTGGTGAAACATTTGGTGGAATCTCTGGTGAGACATTCAGCGAAACTTCCGTACGAGAATGTACTACAGGTCACGCAGGCACGCTGACGGCCCGATCCGTCACTCTGAGGACCGTTCCGGCGAGGAACGCCTCGCCTGATGCCAGAGTCCGAGCGCAAATATTATAAACGATTCGACCAGGCATTCCTCATAAATGTCCCTTAAATCCTCTTTCCCCCCTTCCCTCCCCCCCCCGCCCCAATGTCGCGGTTCCACTGGATCCATGGGAACTTTTTTGAGAATCTTCAAGCACCAGCTCATCTCCCCCCTCCCAAATGTTGCAATCTCTCTGGATCCATGAGAAATGGCATCAAGTAAATGCCTCAGCTGCCAGCTCTCAGTTCCGCAGCTGGTAAGCGCCTCAGATGGCTGCAGCTACATCTACCAGAAACGAAGCTTCGTGCCATCTCCGTCTGTCACATGCCGAAATTTCAGAATGTCCTCGTTTTCAGGTGAATGCTTCAGCTGCCAGCTCTCGGTTCCGCGGCTGGTAAGCAGCAGACCGCTTTACCTCCCTCTCCGTTACAGCTACGTCTACCAGAAGCGCAGCTTGATGGATTTTTCTGACATCGTGCCTTCTCCTCCGTCGCATTGCTAACGTTATCGAAACAAAATCTGACTCGTTCGCATTGCTAGCGTCATCGAAACGAATTCTGATTCGTTCGCATTGCCAGCGCCATCAGGAGTAAGCCGCGAACTTGACGAGGCCCACTATAACGAGAGTATGAAGCAGATCGCTAATGCCAGCCCCGCCACTGCTTAGGGCCTGGCGGAACCACTCCAACAGGCCACAATGCCCTAAGCAGTAGCGGGGCTGGCAGTGATCGCCAGTGATCTCCGGATGAAGCTGTGGCTGGACCCATTGTGGCTACAGCAGTGCCGACGTCGCTACCTTACAACGGAAACAGGGTAAAGCGCGTACACGAGTCAACCCGTACACTAAATTAAGTGTCGCAGTTTGGCAGTTTGACAGATTCTATTGATTGCGAAGAGGGCTGCTCCAGAATCAAGGTCTGCATTCCCGTGTCCATGGCAGTACCTCCGACGCTCAGGCTGCCGTCCGATCGGCGAATGGCGAGGCAGCTGGTCGACGCATCCAACGGCTCAAGCAGCAGCTGGTCAGAGTACTGCCAGACGCGAAATCCCGTGCACAGAGCAGGCACTGGGACACCCATGATCCCTTGACGCTTCGGGTTGTTATCAAATTCTCGTTGAAGTTTCTCGGGGAATCTCTCTGGAATAAACCAGACCAGCAGCAACGGAGCCTTTGGAATAAGGATCTCCGTAGCAGAAGTGCAGGCCTGGAGTATAATCACCGCAGCTTCAAGAGAGAAGCTGGGGACACGGGACGACCGGGTAATTGCCCAAGGCTGGTCAGAGAGCTCCTGGAGTAGAAACCTTGGGACCTCCGCTTGTTGAATTTGTCCTTCCCTGTTTTCCTTTCCTCACCCTGTGTGTGCCCCAGCCCAGACCAACTCCCTGGAGACATTGCTTGCTTGGAGGCTCAGAAGAAACCAAGGGTGGTTCGGGGAGGCTGAAGGCTGGACTGGACAGGGGAGGGGATGTCCTAGGTGGAGCCAGCCAATCAAGCGGGCAACCAGCGCAGCCTTGCGCTGGTGCCGCGTGGCTTGCGCTGGTGCTGCTGGGATTGCGCGACGCTCCGCGTTCTGTACAGAACTCTACAAGTGCTGTGGGGCGCTCCTGGCGTTCCGCGCTTGTACAGAAATACAATGGAGGTGGCGCAGGATCTGTGTGGTGTGGGGTGGAGCTGGCTGGTGGTTGGTGGTGGCGTGGCGCGCTAGTGCTGCGCAAATGCCGAGGCAGCCCCGATGACGAGGAGCCAACAGCGAATCCGAAACGAGTTTGAGGCGCGGGAAGATTCGTCAAGCGTGGTGAGATTCCAAGGGCCAAATAATCGCGACAACCAATGAGGCGTTCATACCCGTTTGGGCCTTCTTGCGAGAACAAGAGGCGCTTACGCTAGCAGATTTTCCACTAGTCTATACTGTCGTTAGCAAATGATGCATTCTGCAAATCCTTACCTTAATTCAACTCCAAACAATAAGGGTATAGGCCACATACAATGAGGACTGGACATATTTGTACTCGTGCCTCTTTGTGGAATGATACGATAGTACGAGTTACCTTACGCTTGAAGCTAAGCTGATTGCCTTGCTCTCTCAATAAGCGGCTGAAGCTGAAGAGAAACATGTGATGTAGTACTACTGTGATTTACTTTTGAGACATCTCAAATTTAGGCTGATTGCCGTGCTCTCTCAATGAGCGGCCGGAGCTGTTTCTTCTCGGCGAGGATCTTGAGGAAGTTGAAGAGGAAGGGGATGTAGTTGTGCTTTCTGCGAATGTTCTCCGTCCTCCACCTCCGGTACTTCTCCTCCTCGCCTGCTATCGAGTCTGCAAGACAGTGCAGCGGGGAGGCAAAGCGTACATATGAGACACAGTCAGCAATTGCAACCACATGCCAAAGCCAGCGTATGGTGTTCTCCGTCCTTCACGTCCGGAACTTCTCCTCCTCGCCTGCTATCGAGTCTGCAGAACAGTGCAGGGGGAGTTGCAAAAGCGTACAATTAATTTAATATACACAATCAGCACACTATGTTTTCCATCCTCCACCTCTGGTACTTCTCGTTTTAACCTGCTATCAAGTCTGCAAAACGGGGCAGGGGGTGAAAAACCATCTATGTGAGACACAACCAGCACACTATGTTCTCCATCCTCCACCTCCGGTTCTATTCCTCCTCGCCCGCTATCGAGCTTGCAAAACAGTGCAGCGGGATGGGAAAACGCACACATGAAACAAAATCAGCAATAAAGACTGGGCCACACAGATAGAACGTACACCTCGGAGCCTGCACTAGGGCATATATAGAGCACTTCGATCGAAACACCTCACCTTGCACGTGCGCCATCTGCATTTCAATATCCGCCAGCTCCGCCTCCAACGCCCGCATATCCTTCCCCCCATCCCCACCGTCCACCTCCATCCCCCCTTCCCCTCCCCCTCCCCCTCTCCTCTCCATCTCCCCCACCACAGCGCCTTTCCTCTCCCTCAGCTCCCCGAGCCTCTCCTCCAAAGCCTCCTTCCTGTTCCGAACCACGGCCATGAGGTTGAACCGAATCTCGCTCTCCGCGTACTTCTCGATGCGCTGCTGAATCACCGGCTGCACCATGCGCAGCCACGCCATGTCATCCTCCTCCTTCCCAGAACCTTCCTTACCTCCTCCTCCGCCTCCTCCCACGCCTCCTTCTACCTTAACGTCTGTTTTCCCCTCTGTCCCAGCCTCCCCTCCCGGGCCACCACCCGAAGCTCCTCCCGAGTCTGGGATCTCCCCGAGCCGGATAGGTCCGGGCTTGAGCCCGTCCAGCTCGTAGAGCACCCCGTTGATCGGCACGTAGCTGATGAAATGATACACGTCGTCGTCCTTTTCTGCCGCCCGGGCCTCCTCGGCAGCTACTATGGCTTCCGGGCGGCTGAAGCTGTTGTGGGCGGCGCGGATGGCCTCGCTGTTGTTGATCGCGAGGCCCTTCAGCTCGGGGGGAAAGTCCCGGGTGAAATCGCGGAGGGTGGAGAGCTCGGGGCCGATGTCGATTCGATTGGAGGCGTTGAGGAGAATGGAGATGATCGCTTGGGTGGCACATGCGTTGCTGATCACCTGGAATAGGAGGAAGGGACGAGGAAAGAGGGAGGAGAAGCAAGGAGTTTGAAGGGAGGTGGTGAGAAGGATTGATATGATAGCCTGGGCGGCACATGCGTTGACTTATGGGTTATCTGGCCAGGCGTAACCTGGCTATGCCTGACAAAAGAAATAACTGGCCTGGCTACAGCTGCACGCAACAAACCAACCTGACTGGCGAAGAAGACGTCAGGAGCAGCGGAATCGGGCACAGTGGGGCGCGTGTCAAGCTCCCCCGGGCGCCACTTGAAGAGAAATATGAGACCATAGACAGGGCTGGAGGAGGGGAAGCAGGAGGCACGGGCATGGGGAAGGGATGAGACAACATCATGAGAGTGTAGGCCGCGCGTCAAGCTCCTCCGGGCGCCACTTGAAGAGGGTTTTGAGCCCGTATACAGCGCTGGAGGGCTGAAGAGGGGGGGGGGAAGGGGAAGGGAGAGAAGGGAAGGAGTGTCGGAAGGGAAGAACACATCAGGAGCAGCCATGACAGGCTCCTTGACAGGTGTCCAGGGGGGAGCCTGTAGGAAGCGCAGGAGCAGCCGTAACAAGCCCTGTACGGGGGCCGCTTGAGAAATGTGAGCCTGTAAGCTGATTTGGATGGGGGATGGGGGGTACATTGGATTAATGGTGAAGACGAGGGGTGTACGGTTTTGAAAGTGGGGCACAGAAATAGTGGGCCCGTTTTGGGACTAAGCAAGAGACACGTGTATCAGGAGGGGAGCCAACTAGTGATTGTGATACTACTAATGATTCGCTGGAAGCCTAACCAACCGACCTGAAAGTTCACCTGCAAGTTCACCTGAGAGTACCTGAGCTGCTTGAGCGCATCCAGATCCAAGCTGTAGAGCTCTTCCACCTGAGAGGGAGTGTGAGCGACAGGGGGACGAAAGAGAGCAAGTGAGGGAGGGGAAGAGAATAGAGCAAGTGAGGGAGTGAGGAAAGGGGCGGACGGAAAGCCAAAGCAAATCCAATTCCTGTGTATGCATCAAAACCCAAAACCCAGGACCCAAAACCCTAACCCGAAATCCTAACCTTTAAACTGCAGGAACTGCCTTGGATGCATGCACCTTCTTGACTTGCATCTTCACATGTTCGGATACCGCCCTCACCAGGTCCTACCTGCACACCTTCACCAGGTCCCACCTGCACGCCCTTCACTTGCATCTGCTTCAACCGGTTACCCTACCTTCACCCCATTACCCTACCTGCAAACCGTTACACAGTTACCCTACCTGCACGCCCTTCACTTGCATCTGCTGCATCAGCTCCGTGAAGACCCCTGAGCAGAACGAAACGAACCAGGGTTGAAACGGAAGGGGGAAAGAGGAAAAAGGCGGGGGGGGGGGGGGGGTGGGGTGGGGGAGGGGATGGGTGGGGGAGGTTTGAGCGAAATTGATGGGCAAGGATCGACTGACTTTGTTAAAAAGCACAGAATTGGCGAAAAAACAGGTTGGGTTCGAAGGATAGGATAGAGAAGCAACGGGGATGAATTTGAAAGAGACATTTAGCAGTTGAAGCGGGTAGGGTGCACTGGGCAACCGGGAGGGAGATTTTGCAGACCAGCAAGTTGGATATTGGATTTTTTTTCGGAAAAAAAAAAAAGCATCTGGGAATGATTAAAGCCCTTGGCCCAAGCAATGAACCACATGACAGTTGGCTAGGTATACGGGCTTTAAACGACCCATAAGAACTCACTCACGAAGGCACGCACCTAGACCCCTACTCGACCGTGCACCACGACATGGCGTTGGGAGCAAGTAGGCCAACCCTCCCTTTATCCACCCCCCTTTTTCCCACCCCCCTCTTCCCCATCCCTCTTCCCCATCCCTCTTCCCCATCCCTCTTCCCCATCCCTCTTCCCCATCCCTCTTCCCCATCCCTCTTCCCCATCCCTCTTCCCCATCCCTCTTCCCCATCCCTCTTCCCCATCCCTCTTCCCCATCCCTCTTCCCCATCCCTCTTCCCCATCCCTCTTCCCCATCCCTCTTCCCCATCCCTCTTCCCCATCCCTCTTCCCCATCCCTCCTCCCCATCTCCATCCCCTTTCCCCTTCCCCCATACAGCTGTCAGTCAAGCACCTGCATATGCACCAAGCCACGCACCTGGATCCTACTCCATCGTGCACCACGACATGGCGTGGACGACGCTCGCCCAACCCCTTCTTCCCCTCCCATACAGCAAGTATTGCTAGTCATGCCCCTGCATATGCACCAAAGCACAAGCCGAGCCACGCACCTGGATCCGACTCGATCGTGCACCACGACATGGCGCGGACTGGGCGCCGATCGCACTAGAGGGAAGAGGAGGGGGTTCGCAGCACCCGCGCAACAATCCGGGCCGGGGCCGTTTCGAGCGCTGGTCAAAAGGCTACTCTGAAGACGCCGCTGCACCCACTGCCTCCGAGAAGCGAAGATTTGACCCGATCCTCGTTTTCGGGTTGACTCAAAAGCTAAGATTCGACCCGACCCGACCCGACCCTCTCGCGCCGCTGCCTGGTGGTTCGGCTCTGGCTGTACGAGGCTGAAAAACTAGCCGATCCGATCCTTCGCGCTACGAGCACGCAGCCCGCGGCGTAGCTGAAGGGAGCGTGAAGGACACCAACGGTAACGCGCGATCGACGGAGGCAATTGAGCTACAGTAATGGGGTGTCAAAAGTAGCACGCAATGTATCTGACAATAGTGGTATGTGGCTCAACCGTTTTATAAAGGCGTCAGTCGAGGTTGCTAAAGCTGGATTGATCGAAGCCAAAACTTGCTGAACGCGCTTTCATTATCAAAATCATGTTTCAGGTTTGGGGCGGCCAGTGGGATTTCGCGCACCTAACTATAAACCTGGTGCTCTTATTACCGTCGATTTTCTTAAGATATCGAGTCGCCGAGACGAAGTTTCGAGGCTACAGAACAGTCGTTTTGAAAAGTTCATTCGAAATACGAATTTAGAGCGACCCGACCCCGCAGTGCATCCTACTGACTACGGACGGCTCCAAGGTTATGAAATGGCTTGTGCTTCAGATGGGTGCTCCGCTAAGAACCTGAACCGTACTTGAAGCCACAAGTAGATACGGTAGTAGTACGAACTAAACGAGCCACAAGTGTCTTGCAACCATTTCGCATTGAATATACAACCCCATAGCGCCCACAGCCGGCCAGATCCATCGCCCACTCCTTGGTGAGCCTCTCACATATGGGCCATGGCAGTGAGTGAGTCTGTGACTCAGGTAAAACACCAACAAGGGTACCTGCAACCTTAGTCTCTGGCACCCGCGACTTCTAGGAGCCAGGAATCGCTCCATCCACCGCCAAGGCAGGCAGGTCACAAAGCTGCCCAGATTGCACCCTCGTCTTTGCAATTTCAGGGTACAGACAACAGTGGTACACCCTCAGACAGACGCGGCCAAATCAACCCTGCAGCCTCCAACAGACCACCGCTAAGGCAGGCAGCTCACAGCCGGCCAGATCTATTGCACCCCTTGAGTCGAGCCACTGCGAGCTCAGATTACACCCTCAGGCACGGCAGTTCCTCCCGCTCAGAGTACACCCTCCGGCGCGCCAGTTCCTCCCTGCAGCCTCGATAAAGAACTGCACCGCTAGGTGGGGCAGCTCACAGCTGGCCATGCTCACAGCACCCTTCTTGATGAGCCACTGCGAGCTCAGAGTACACCCTCAGGCGCGCCAGTTCCTCCCTGCAGCCTCGACAAAGCGCTGCACCGCCAAGGCAGGCAGCTCACAGCCGCCCAGGTCCACCGCACCCTTCTTGGCAAGCTTAGCCGGCCCGTGGAAGTCCGAGCCGCCGATCTTGAGCAAGCCGTGAGCGTTGGCAAGGCGACAATACTCTGGTGTTGGCAGGGTGTAATGGTGGGGACGGCATGAGAGGAGTTTATTGACCCTATGCTGAGCTCAGCCGGCCCGTGGAAGTCCGAGCTGCCAAGGCCATGGGTGTTGGCAAGACGGCAATACTCTGACTTTGACGGCAGGTGATGGAGGGGAGGGGGATGAGGAAGAGAGGGGCAGAGAAAGGGGACTGGAGAGGAAGGGGAGGGGAGAGAAAGGGAGGGGAGAGAAAGGGAGGGGAGAGGCAAAAGTGGGGAAGGGAAGGGGAGGGGAGAGGAAGGGGAGGGGAGAGGGAGGGGAGGGGAAAATCCCTTTGTGTGTCCTGGCGTGTTTAGCCGCCCAGTGGAAGTCCGACGCACCGATTTTTAGCTAGCAGTGCGTGTTGGCAAGACGAGCAAAGTCGGGTGGTCATGGGGTGAAACCAAGAGGCAAAAGAAACGCTTCGGTTGACCCCAAATGAAGCCCTTCTTGGCGAGCCTAGCCGGCCCGTGGAAGTCCAACCCACCAATGGCGAGCCGAATAAGCAGTGTGTGTTGGCTAGCCGAGCAAAGTCTGGTGGTCATGCGATTTATGAAAGTGGCACGCGTGTTATCTCGTTCAGAACACGCCTGCCACTTTGGAGGCAGGCGTGTTATTGCCTCTTCGGAGCTGCTGTGCTTTACCGTTCAGAACTTCACGCTTCAAAACACTCAAACACCGACCTTCTTGGATCTCCTTCCCTCGGTACACCTCCATTCCCGTCAATCCGTCTTCAACGACTCGCTTCAGCATCCCCCTTAGTGCGCTCTCCGGTATTGTCCACGGGTGCGCCAGCACTGCTGCCCCCCCTGCCTCTCTTATAACGCGTATGGCTTCAGCCACGGGGATCTCAGAGCCCCTGCAAGAGGACACGGATTCAACACATATATGATTATATTTTGTGAGAATACTGTGCAAGCAACCAAGCAGTGCTGCTGCCCCTCCTGCCTCTCTTATAACGCGTATGGCTTCAGCCATGGGGATCGCAGAGCCCCTGCAAGAGGACACGGATTCAACACATGTATGATTATATTTTGTGATAATACTGTGCAGTCAACCAAGCAGTGCTGCTGCCCCTCCTGCCTCTCTTATAACGCGTATGGCTTCAGCCACTGGGATCTCAGAGCCCCTGCGGCAAGAGACGGGTGGGCAAGAGACGGGTGGGCAAGAGACGGGTGGGCAAGAGACGGGTGGGCAAGAGACGGGTGGGCAAGAGACGGGTGGGCAAGAGACGGGTGGGCAAGAGACGGGTGGGCAAGAGGGGCGGGGAATATGGGGTTTGGCTTTTCTATTACGCATGACATGATCATGATCTCCATGGCATGAATCCCTGAGCCCCTGTGGCATGAAATGACGTCTGCATGTCCCCCCACCATCCCCCCACCGGCCCTCCATCACCCCCCCATCACCCCCCCACCGTCCCCCCATCGTCCCCCCCCTGCCTGCACCGCCCCACCTTTCTCTGCGTGTAAAGCTCCTTCAATTGGCGCCTCACAGTCGCCTCCTCCCATACACACACTGGACATAAGCCGGCCCATGGTCCCAACATGCTTCTGAAAAGCTTCCTCCACTTCCCCCACTGGCACTGCATGCAACCGACCGACCGTTTTCGATCCCCCCTCCCTCTCCCTATACCCACACCTGACCTGACATAAGCGGGCCCATGGTCCCCTCTGTACTTCTGAAACGCCTCCTCCATTCCAGTTGTCATGGAAGAGTAGCAGCAGCGTAGGAAGGTCGCATTAACAAAAAATTGACAGTTTGAAAAAACTTGTACCCTCAGAAATTAAGTGAACTCGAAAAAGTCTCTCAACTGGCCCTTGAATTGAATCAACAAGCAAACATGTTTCGGTGGTGGGGATCAGACCCACAACACCTTCATCAGTGCATGAGCTGGTAACGAAAAAGAAACCTCCGAGCGAGGAGTCTTAAAAAGACACCCAAGCCTCGAGATCTACTCTGGGGAAATCCTACCCGGGCCCACAACTAGATAAGAAGTAAGCCAACGAAGCACTACGGAAAAAACCTAGGTGCCCTGTCATTCCTCGGGTTTGTCCTTGGGAGCCTTGGAAGCACTACGGAAAAAACCTAGGTGCCCTGTCATTCCTCGGGTTTGTCCTCGGGAGCCTTGGAATCTGCAGGTGGTAACCTCGCGCGAACCAAAAGTTGTTGCACGTTACGTGCACACTTCCAAGCAACCAAAATTCTTCCTGTATTAAAACCGCGGATAAAGAGACGAATTTTGAGGCGCCTCAAAAATACCCCTAGCTTGAGACGAGCGGTCGAAGGTGTGAACACCGTCTTCAGAACTAGGGGTCCGCGATGAGGAAGGGCTGTTGGCTGCTGTTGCTTAAGTGAGTGGCGCGCGGAGATCTGTTCCAAGAGGGAACCACGTTGGCGAAAGAGGACTGTCCGGATGATGGGTTGAAGGAAACCCGGTGGGTAACCACGTGCACGAAGCCTGAAGAAGAAAGCATGCTTCGTCGCGAGGAAAGCCGAAGCTGATGTCAAACGGAGTAGGTACCGTTTCAGTTCAGCTTGGATGAACCCGACCATACAGTGACGTGGGTGGTATGACGAGAATGGTAGGTAGAGATACCGGTTCATGGGCTTGTGGAAGGTCCGGAAGTCCAAGGTACCAGAGTCAGCAAAACGATCCCCTTTGAACATAACCATGTCGAGGAAGTCTACCGACTGCTCCGAGACGTGCCAGGTCAATTTAATGTTCGGGTCAAGGCTGTTGAACGTGTTGAGGTAACGTTCCAGCTCATCTCTGGACCCCGGCCAGATGATGAGCCCATCGTCAATGTAACTGGCGTGTCGAATGGGCTGCGTCCCAGTCCACCTCTGCTTCAGCACTTCGTCCAGTCGGCTCATGAAAATCACCACGAAACAGACTGCCATAGGAGTTCCCACAGCAATTCCCTGGATCTGACGGTAGATATCGCCGTTGAACTCCACGTAAGAATTCAGCATGACCCACTCCGGCAGGGCCATGACCAGAAGTGCACTGTGACACCGCTCCCTCTGTAGAAAGCCGCTAACTGAATCGAGACCGCGTCTGAGGGGTATGCTAAGGTAGAGCGCGGAAACATCGTACGTTGCCAGAAGAACATTTCGTGGAAGAGTCGTTCATTCCAACTCCAGAAGCAGCGAAAGGGAGTCGCGAAGGTAGGATTGTTGCTTAAGAACCAGTGGCCACAGCTCAGCATCCAACCAAGTGCTGACGTGAGTTAACCCAGGAGTGCGAAGCAGCGATCGGCCGCCCCGCCAGGTTTTTCTTGTGGAGTTTCGGTAGGATGTAGAACGCCGCTGACCTCCAGCCTCCACTTGATGTAGAAAATACCTCCACAAACTGTCTTGAAGAGCAAGGCCCCAAACAGCTCGTAAGTCGCGTAGTTGTTGGAGGATAGCATCCGTAGGGTTGGTGCGGACTGGTTCGTAGGTACTTCCGTCACCAAGATGTTCGAGGCAGAGCACGATGTAGTGACTCCTGTCCAGCACTGTGACGCCCAGGTTCTTATCCGCCGGTTAAATGACCACGCTGGAATCAGCTGCAATGGAACGCAGAGCCCGCGCGACGCCGACGTTGATGTTCCACGATCGCTTGGGTCTGTTGGCTTTCAATTGGAAGGAAAGATCCGAAGACGTTTCCCTGAAAACCTGCTCCGAAATTGGATTCTCATCAGGGATCCAGCCAGGATTCCGTACGCAGAAACGTGAATCCCGACTGCATCGACCTGAATCGTTGAAGAAAAATTGAAGGGAAATCTGCCGAAGTAGTTGATCGAGCTCCATCTCAGTTGAAAAGGATCTGGTGGGCGTTGGGATGAACTTCAAACCCAACCCCAACGCCGTTTTCTCATCCGAAGACAAGATCTTGGCGCTGAGGTTGTGAACCCCCTGGTTCAGGACGCGTGGCGTCGCCTGCTGATACGTCATACGACCGAACCATCGGAGAGCCAGGTCGTGGCTTGTTAGTTCTTGCGCGGCTTTTTTCCGAACCGCCTCCCTCGTATTCTTATCCCTTGACAGAAGAAACGTCATTAGAATCGCCTTTCCCTCGCTGGTCGTTGGAGTTCAGCTTCTTCTTAGACTTCGAAGGTCCACCATCCTGCTCCTTCTTGTCTTTCGGATCCGAGTTAGAGGACGACGTAGGTTCCTGTCGACCCAGACCGAACTCCTTGAATTTCTTCAGTAAGGTAGCGAGCACGTGCACTGTGATCTCCTTGCGTAGCGTGCCAGCCATCTTCGTCGAGTGTTTCTTCAGGAGCTCGTCGAACGTCGCTTCAGCGTCGGAAACTACCAAATCACGATCGGCACTAAGACTCTGTACGTACTCCTCAAGCTTTGTCGCGAGAGCTGTGACGTGCGAGTTGCTCGCCGCGAGAATCTCCTCAACCTCCGCTTCCTTAGACGTGATGAAGTCTTGCTGGAGTTTCTTCTGATTCTCCAGATGCGTAGCCATGACAGCCTGCGCAGACTTCTCCTGGATTGCAGGATACTTAGTCTAGAACTCGACAGCCTTCGTGCGAATACTGTGAAGTATTTCGCCCGCATCGTCGAGCGCCTTCATCTTCTTAAGCTTCGATTTCGCCTTCAGGAGCGTCTTAAAATCATCCCGGAAGCCTTGAACAGCAGACGCGGTCCATCCCTTGAATGGTGGCTCGGGAATCGGAGTTGTGTCCACCAAAGGATTCATCGCCGCAGCACAGGGACAATCGGTCGTAGCAGCAGAAGGAGGATCAAATCGTTGCTTCTCAGTGAAACGTTGCTCGTGGACGAGACGCAAGGGAGGGATCACGGAATTCACCGCCCGATATTGCTTATGAGCAAAAAAACTCGGACGAACCGCGTTCCCCCCTCCACGAGAAGATTTCAAAGAGTTGCACCTGACCTGACATAAGCGGGCCCATGGTCCCCTATGTACTTCTGAAACGTCTCCTCCATGACCCCCACTGCCCCTGCACCGCCCCACCTTTCTCCGTGTGTCACGCCTCCTCCATTTCCCCCACTCGCACTGCATGCAACCGACCATTTTACATCCCCCCTCCCTCTCCCTAAATACAAGCCTCTCCCGATACAAGAACCATTTTCTACAAACAAACTCTCCATATTCACACATCTAACATAAGCCGGCCCATGGTCCCCTATGTACTTCTGAAACGCCTCCTCCATTTCCCCCACTGCCCGATCTACCCACACTGCAAGCACTGCCACCAGAGCTCACAACCCACTGTTACCTCCCTCCACCCCTTCACACACCTGACATAAGCTGGCCCATGGTCCCCTATGTACTTCTGAAACGCCTCCTCCATTTCCCCCACTGCTTTCACTGCCACCAGCGCCCGTGCCACGTGCACTCGGCCTGGTGCCGTGTTGGGGTCGTCTAGTTGCTGGTGTTGTTGGGGGAAGGGGGGGGGGGAGAAGGGGGAAATAAGCCAGATGCGCTGCCTTGCCACGTGCACTCGGCCTGGTGCTGTGTTAAGGCCATCTAGTTGCCGGTGGGGGGCGGGGGGGGGGTGTTATGGAAGAAAGCAGAGGAGAAGGGGGGAGAAGGGATGGAGACGGGGGAGGAGTCTGTTCCCATGCACACTCTGCCTGATGCTGTGTTGAGGTCATATAGCCGCTGGTTAGGACACTAAATCTGACTCCCCCTCACCTGAAACAAAACCGCCATAGTCACACAGACCCCCATCTGCTGCAGTCGCAGCACTGCACCATGCCTGCTGCTCTCTCGTGCATGTTCCCCCGCACCCCAACAAGCCTTCAGAAACCCCATATCACTCTGAATCCCTCTCACCTGAATCACATCGGCCATTGTCACTCCCACGCCCATCTGCTGCAGCCGCTGCACCACGCCTGCTGCTGCCAGCCTGTGCCTACCCTCCCATCTGCCATCTGCCATCTGCCATCTGCCATCTGCCATCTGCCATCTGCCATCTGCCATCTGCCATCTGCCATCTCCCATTTTCCTCCCATTCCTCCCCTCACCTGAATCCCAGCCATCGTGATCGTGACCCCCATCTGCTGCAGCCGCTGCACCTGCTGCCCGCCTGTGCCTGCCATAGGCCATCGGCCATCTGCCATCGGCCATCTGTCATCTGCCATCTGCCATCGGCCATCGGCCATCGGCCATAGGCCATCGGCCATCTGCCATCGGCCATCAGCCATCTGCCATCTGCCATCTGCCATCTGCCACCTCCCATCTCCTACCTTCTTTCGACCCCATTCTCACCCGAATCACATCGGCCATAATCACATTGACCCCCATCTGCTGCAGCCGCTGCACCATGCGTGCTGCTCTTCTGTGCCGGCCCTCCCGCACTATCAGCAGTTCCCCCAACGCAAACCCCGCTTCCACCGTCCTCACCTTAATCACATCCGCCATAGTCACACTGACGCCCATCTGCTGCAGCCGCTGCACCATTCCTGCTGCTCTTCTGTGCCGGCCCTCCCGAATCCCCTCCAGCACTCCCACCAGCCTCCCAAACCCATCTCCTGCATCCTTGCTCCGTACACCGTCTTGACCAACCTCCTCGCTCCCCACGCGCTCGTGATGAGCATCCTTGATTCCTCCCTCCTCCTGTGTCTCGGCTCCATTCCCGTTGTAACTGACCCGCGGTTTCTTCCCCTCCCCTCCCAACCCCCCCTCTCCATCCTCCACCTCTTCTCCCTCTTCTCCTTCCCGTCCCTCATCCCCCTCAGCTCCTGCTTTCCTCCTCGCACGCTGCCACTGCTCTCGCATACCCAAGGGAGGGAAATACGCCAAAATGTGCACCCCTGGACCGCCCTTCGTTTCCACCCCTTCGCCTCTTAGCCCTGTTTCTTCCACCCCATCTCTCCCCTCCTTCAAGCCACCACTCCCTCCTCTATCCTTTTCATCTGCCTCAGAAATCGCCGCAGAAGAAGTATCCAATCCCGGAGCCTTGAAGGTATTCGATTCAGCTTTCTCACATGCTGCACCCCTTCCTCCCCCCCTTGGCATGTTGCAGTCGTAATAAGCGCTGATCTCCACCCCAGGGATCACACACACCCCCACCTCCCGCCCTGCCGCCGTAGCCTCTGCCACCCCTCCCATGGTGTCATGATCCGTGAGGGCTAGAACTTTTACCTAAAATATGGGAATTACAGGGGGCAAAATGGAGAGGTAAAGGGCAATCGCACACACCCTCACCTCCCGCCCTGCTGCCTCTCACATCCAACCCTAAACCCGAGACCTCGCAGCTGAGGCATGGGGAAAGTAGGAAGGGGAGAGAATGTGGGGAGGGGAAGTGAGAGCGGAAACTGCTGCCGTTGCCTCGGCCACCCGCGCCATGCTTCCATGGTCTGCTTGCGCTTGGATGCGACCTACCCCACATCGTCTCACACATCCAGATACAACCTACCTCACATCGTGTCACACACCCAGATACAACCTACCCCACATCGTGTCACATACCCCAGGTATCACCTACCCCTCGCGCCACGGCTCGTCGGACGACCTGGGCTGGGGAGTGCAAGCAGTCTGACTCAAGCTCAACCTCCACCATAAAACCTACCCCAGGTATCATCTAACCCAGGTATCACCTATCCCAGGTACCATCTACCCCAGACACCACCTACCCCACGTTAATTCACCTACCCCTCGGCTCGCGGCCCGTCGGACGACCTGGGCTGGGGAGAGCGATCCGTCGCTGCACGTGCTGTGGCAGTGAAACTCCACCAGAAAACTGCCCGTTTGGCTGCCCGTTTTGCTGCCCTGCCGCGCTAGACCACCGCCACGTTTGCCCGGGGCCCTGCTAGCGGCAGGTTTCTCTAGAGAAACAGCAGGATCCTTATCCGCTTCGTTAGCGGCGGCTCGTGCGGCATCTAGGGATTGCCGAGAATGCGCTTCCGCAGCGTCTAGGGATTGCCGCCAGAATTCCTCCAGAAAGTCGCCCGCGGCGACGTGCCTCTTTTGCGCCGCTCTTCGCTTACTCTTGTTACCCTTCCCCATGCCTAATTCGCTGTTGCTAGAGCGACGCGCCGATGTCAGGAGAAACTACAGCCAGCGAGTCCTATCTCTGGCCGCTACTCTTTGCCAAAACTCTAAGGGCGTGTTCAGCGCGTTTATTTTGGCCCAGCACGCGGTTTTAACTCTTCTGCACGTGCTCGAAATTTTGTTACGGGAAATGTAGATGTCGCGAGCGAGGCTCACCTTTCGACCGCAGAGAGCATGCTTGGCTCGGCCTTGTGTCCAGCTTTTGACACGACAAAAGCTGTGCCCAGCAAAAAAAAACAAAAGAGCTTGGCGAAATAAACGGAGTGGTTACGGTATTACGGGCCTGGAAAACGAGACCTCGCTGTTTTTGCCACGGCATTGACGAACCTTCCTCAATATGACGAAGTGGTGTGTTTACTTTTCGCCAACCATGATTTGTCGTTTCTGGCGGAGTTAATTTCGGGTACAATTTCCAGCCACTTTCGAAACGGGCGCAACACGACTGCCGGTACTCTTCGAGAGCATCCGCAAAGAACGCGCACTTTTCAAGCGGATCCTAAAAGATACGGTACCTCGAGTTACCACACCATAAATCTGTACCTGTCACACCAACTGAATAGCATACGAACGCGATGGATACGCCCTAACTGCTTATCCCCTTATGCCGTAGACTAATGGAGGAAGATCGCAGGTCCTTCAGCGTCTTTCGCATAGTCGCCCTCGCAATTGGGGAATATATACGGATGCAAAGGGCAGAAATAAACGGGCGGGGTAGAAAGGAAAACGGGGGCTACTTATGCCATCAGAAACACCAAACAGGCGAAAAGTGCTCCAAGGGTAAACTCGTGCAAAACAATGTGGATGTTGGTTGGCCGAAAACATCCTGGGCAGCCACCTGCGAGCAATGATATAATTATGTGACCTTATTCAGAGCTGTTTGTGCTGCCCGAAACCATGGGATCAATTTCAAATTCTTGGTGGGTCCGCCAACCTAGCAAGAATTAGCAGGAAAGCAGGTTTTGCTTGGCGGATGGCATGGCGGAAGAAGGGGGAATCCGCAGGTGGGATCAGGTGGGATCAGGGCTCTCGGTTCAAGGGTAACATCCGGAATGTCAGGTACATTCCGGATGTTTCGCGCTAGAATTTGGATTTAGATAGAGCCGGTTTCACAAACATCCTGACTGGTTCCAGACGTTTCATTCTGGGACCCAGAGCAGGTTTTTTTTTTTTTTTTTTTTTTTTTTTTTTTTTTTTTTTTTTTGACTCAGCGGTCTCAGGATTCGCGTCACTAAAGACCCTGAAAATTTAGCATTCCCTGGAAAATCTCTCTTAATTTCAGGATTACTTTGAAGTTTCAATCTGAAATTCAGTGTGTTTTTTACGACTCCCTACATATTAGTGGATCCTGTGGGCACTTGGAGTACAAGCAGGAAGGACATCGATGGAAGAAACGATGGAGAAGAATACTGAACACACACTTGCTGCTGCTGCTGTCCCTCACCACCAACACCAAGTTCGACACTTTCCTTGTCAATTGCGACAGAAATGTATACAACTTAGAGGGACAATTGGCAACCAGGCTAAGGTGATATTAAGGGGTTGTCATAAGTCTGACAACCCTGCACTTATGTAGTTGTGAAAGTTCCACGGGTCGAGCCCGTAGATTGCATGGAAAATTGGTCAGGGTTGCGAAGGAATTGGGGGGGGGGGGGGGGGGGGGGGGGGGGGGGGGGGAGGGTGGGGTTGCAATTCTAGCACGGATGATTTTCCATGCCAGCCGGATGGCCAGGATAAATTTTCGCGCAATCTGGATTGCTTAGGGAGTTCCTTGGAAACGCCCGGAATCATTAAGGAGGTTTGGGAATCCGAAACCCTAAAAATCAGGATTTCAGCAGGAAAGTCCCAGAATGTACCTGACATTTTGGATGTAAATTGAAAAATTAGCCCTGGGTGGGAATAGAACTCCCAACTCTTTCAGGTCCTGCGCGTTTGCCTGGCAGTCCCAAGGCCCAGGTCCTCGTGTTTGGGACTGGGACCCCTAGGGCGGAACAGTCGGGGGGGGCCCGCCAGCGCCTGCCGCCCCCCGAATGCCGAACCTCCGGGGATTATGTCATCGAAGGGGATGGGTAAAAAGCGTGCCCCACTTGATAAACCCCCGTATCCGTGGGTCTGTCCTCGCCGCCACTGTAGCTGGCGACGGAGCCGGTTTTGACGGCAATCTCCACGTCTAGCGACGTCATTCGACGAGACTCCGATGGCGTTGGTAACCCGGGGGAGAAGGATAAATATTGTTGAAACAGTACGGTTGAGTGGTATGTAGAAGATACCTGTTGAATGATTTTTTGACCCGTTATACTTCAGAACACCTTGTTGCTTCGTGATGGGCAAAATATAATGAAAAGTGTCTGCCTGGCCTTGATGTTCTTCTACCGGGAACCCGGGGGCAGGTCGAGTATAAAACGGCGTGCTCTCGGATTTGTCTCCTTTTTCGAATCTGCGATGGGAATTCTGGGGACTTGGGCACTTAGAAGTTAGGTTCATCGTTTCGGTGGGTGCATATCCGTCGAAGAGTTTCCGAGGGAGCGTCACGGTCGGAGATTTCTGTGGGAGCGATGTCGTAGGAACGTTTTTGTGGTCGCGTTTCTGTGGGAACGTTTATGTGGGAGCGTTTCTGTAGGACTGTTCTCTGGGGGCCAGCCCCTCAGATATCCGGATGTTTTATCATGAATTCCTGATTTTCAGGATGCTTGTTAGGGGTCAATCCTGAAAATTCAGTTTAAGGTCATTTTCCACCCTGTGAATTCAGTTTTAAGTCATAGTGCAACCCTGAAGTTTCAGTATAGTGTTCGTGTACCAGCCCTGAGGTGTCAGTATGCTTTCGGGGACACCCTGATTCATCGAATCTTGCAAATGCACGTGCCCCACGGGCGCATGCTCTGTGTTTTTCCGCCCAAACAAATTTCGGTTAAGTCCTCGATGCTAGAGTCAATCCTCCAACCAGCCCCATGCCACTCTATTTTGGTTAAGTTCTTAATGCTAGAGACAATCCTCGAACGAAACCCCCCCCCCCCCCATTCTAAATTTTTGGTGAAGTCATCAATGCGTCTCTAGCAACAAAGCAGCCCCACGCTACTCTGTTTTGGCTAAGTCCTTAATGCTAGAGACAATCCTCGAACGAAACCCAACCCCCCCGCCCCCTCCCCCCCACCCCCCCCGCTACTCTAAATTTTCGCCCACATGCCTTCGACTTTCCTCTAAAAATGCAGACGTGGCATTTCTCAACTGAGGGCGTGTCTCAACGCCGACACAAGTCACACTAATTCATGTCAAGACTGCGTTGACGGGCAAATTTGACAAGCGAAATCCCTAATGACACGAAAAAGGCCTAACATCGGTTCACAAAGCAATAGGCCCTGAACAATCAGACTGCCGGAAAAATTCCCGGCCAAATTTGCTGCGTGCGTAGATTTTCGCCAAATTTTGACCAATAGTGGCTAAGCTAGCGCAAAACATGAAGTGCCGACATCCTGTTAGTATCCTGCTGCTGTGCAATGTAACTTAGTATAATGTTTCCAACGTTTTTGAATTTACCCTGAGGGCACAGTATAAATCGGGGAACCACCTTGAGGTTTCAGTATGAATATAGCCAACCAACCCTGAGTGCTACACAGTTTTTTGGGGGCCAGCCCTGATTGGTCAGGATGCCCAAAATCCTATCTGAGGCCCTGCTGGGGGCGCTTCTGTGGGTGTGTATCTTTGGGGACGTTTCTATTAGGGTTCAGTGTGGGCGCATTTCTGTGGGGACGTTTCTGTGGCAGCGTTTTCTGTGGGTGCGTTTTGGTGGTAGGGTTTATGTGGGCACGCGTGTGTGACCGAGATTCTGTGGTAGCGTTTCTGTGGGGGCGCTTCTATAGGGTCGTTTCTGCGGAGGCATTTCTGTGGGCACGTTTCTGTGGGCCCGTTTGTGTGGGAACGTTTCGGTGGGTGAGTTTCTGTGGGTGCGTTTGTGCAAGGGCGTTTCTATAGGAACGATTCTGGACGAGCGTTTCTCTGTGTTTTTCTGTTGGAGTAGTTCTGTGGAGCGCTTCTGTGGAATCGTTTATGTGGAGGCGCTTCTCTGGAGACGATTCTGTGGGCGTTTAGGGTGGGAGCATTTCTGTGGGGACGCTTTTGAGGAAGCATCTCGGTGGGAGCGTTTCTGTAGGACCGTTCTGTGGGGGCGCTTCTGTGGGTGCGTATCTTTGGGGACGTTTCTGTTAGGGTTCAGTGTGGGCGCGTTTCTGTGGGGACATTTCTGTGGCTGCGTTTTTGTGGGTTCGGTTCGGTGGTATGGTTTCTGTGGGCACGTCTGTGTGAGTGGGATTCTGTGGTAGCGTTTCTGTGGGGGCGCTTCTGTGGGTCGTTTATGCGTAGGCGTTTCTGTGGGCACGTTTCAGTGGGCACGTTTGTGTGGGAGCATTTCTGCGGAGGCGTTTCTGTGGGCACATTTCATTTTGCACGTTTGTCTGGGAGCGTTTCAGTGGGTGTGTTTGTGCAAGAGCGTTTCCGTGGGAATGATTCTGCGCGAGCGTTCCTCTGTGTGTTTTTTTGTTGGAGCGATTCTCTAGGGGCGCTTCTGTGGAGTCGTTTCTGTGGAGGCCCTTCTGTGGAGACGTTTTCTGTGGGGGTTTAGGGTGGAAGCGTTTCTGCGGGGACGTTTCAGTGGGAGGGTTTTGATGGGGGCGTTTTTGTGGGGGCGTTTCTGTCAGTCGTAAACTTCCTCAGACAGGATCGCGATGGAAGAGGATGGCGTTGAAATGTTCGTAGATTGTACGCACGCGAATGAAGATGAAACGTTTATAACGTGTGCACAGGGCGAAGCAGAGGCGGATGCTGCTGGGGCTTCGTCTGAGGGAAATGACGTAGAAGATGATTCGATTTGTACACCGGAGCAGCAGGAAGAAAGGGCGCCGAAGAAAAACCTAAGAGATGAGGGATTGGCAGATCCTGGGGTGGATCTGACCGGAGAACGACCAGAAGAGGAGGGGGAGGGAGAGGGGTGCGGGCAGCGGGGGGATGAGGGGGAGAAGGAGGAGACAGAGGAAGAGGGCTCTGAATCGGCTACCCGCGTAGAGGTCCCGCCTCAGCCCGGCAGAAACATGTACGTGGGTAATGCGTACGTGGAGACAACAACCAAAGAAAGCTTGGTTCAACGGGCATCAATTCCTCTGCTGAAGGTCGAGGCGAAAAGCACTCGACCACAGTACGCCGGGTATTTTCTGGAGTTCAAGAAGTGGGTCGTGAAGTTCTTGAACGAAGTCAAGGATCTGAAGATTCCGGAGGGAGAGCTGCTGGAGCACGATGACGAGGTCGGCGAGACCCTGGGTAACAATATGGGGAAGATTGGTGTGAAGTCCCCCTCTCCGAGATCCATCTGCATGGACCAGGCACGACGAATTGGAGGCTCGAAGCGTATCTCGAGTACATGTTTTGGCAGACCAAGGAGCAGGCCGAAGCTTTGAAAGAGGGTCAGAAGGTCATCACAGGGAAAGCCTTAAAGAAATGCACGGCGAGCATGATGAAAGCCCGGATGAACGCATTGGGCTGCCTCTGCTCCGTCGATGCCATTCTTTTCAACGAGGACGCATCCTTGCCGACAGCCCTTATCGCATCTGTGCGAGATCTTGTGAAGGTCAAGCTACGAGAGTTGAACGCTCAATAGATCGCGTAAGGTTTTGCGTGTTCTGCCTACTTTGCCTTCACAGCAAGGTCATTGAGCACAGATTAGATCTAACATTTCTTCTACTGCATTTTCTGCAGAGAGGGCAATGATCAACATCGACGGTCCCTCGACGGCTGTTACTCCGCGGACCAGTTTCGCCAGCTGAAGGAGTCGACCTTGCCGACCGCTGCCACAGACGAGTTCAACAAAGCTGTGAATGAGCACAGTCTGACTCTGTGGAGGGCATTGGCGGTGAAGGTGATGATTCTTCAGTCACACTACGCGCTGGGAAGGGGATGCAGCTTTCGACAGATCCGCTTTGCCAACATGTACATCCATGAGATTCCGAGCAACACCTTGTCTGCCGCCCCCACAAAGGTGCCCGTCCTCGTCATAGCGAGCTGAAAGTCGAAGGTTGTGCACGAAAACAAGTTGGACCACCAGTTTCTAACGCGTAGCCTCTACTGGCAGCAGTGCGCCATGGGTGCCGTGTTTCTGTGGATTCACTGGGTGTACAACCTCACGCATCTATACTACAAGGACGATAAGAGGTAGATAATTAAGCCTCTCGACTTCTCCCACCCGACGAAGTGGTCGTCGAAGCACCTCTTCTTTGCCATGGACGACCCTGAGCAGGGGGAGCTGCCGTACAAGACGCACAACAAGTGGGTCGGTTGGGCGATAAAAGCGGCCAAGTGGTTGTTGAGCAAGGTCACCCACATCTTCAGAAGATCCGCTGCACAGATCCTGTGCGACCTTCTTTGTCCAGAACCGCAGATTGCACATCTGGGAGGATGGGAGCAGAATGAGATGCGCAAGTGCTACCTCGTCTCACCTCCATGAAAGGCTCCCTTTCTGCTGGCTGGATTCAGCTGCGTGGAGGGAGACTGTTACATTGGAAGACACGACGTCCCTCTGCCAGACGGTTTGGAAGAGTTGTTCGTTCAGCACATTTACCCGTGGCCGGAGGGCGAATTGAAGAAGGTACAGTCACTTCTGCGAGTCTGAATCGCATTCGCAGATGCTTTGTGGCTTTGTATTTGTCTTGGGAGCACTTGTATGTCAATGTCTCGTTGGAAGCGTATTTGTGGGGGCGTTTGTGTGAGCGTTTATGTGGTGGCGTATCTGTGCTAGCGTATTTGTGGCAAAGTTTCTGTGGGTGCGTTTCTGTAAGATCGTATCTGTGGTACCATTTCTGTGGTGTGGTTTCTGTTGGAGCGAATCTAAGGTGTGGTTTTCGTGGTTAGGTTTCTGTGGGAGCGTATTCGTTGGTTCGTTTCTGTGGGAGTGTTTCTGTAGAAGCGTATCTGTGGGAGCGTATCTGTGGGAAAGTTTATGTGGGTGCGTTTTTGTGAGATCATTTCTGTGAGAGTACGAACCCGTTACACCACTTGTCCTTTCCTTATTTCCTTTCTATTTCATTTCTCTTTTTATCCCATCTCATTTGGTTTCCTATTCTCCATTTTCCATTATCCTTTGGTTTATCCTGCTATTATATTTATATCACCGGCCAGGCTCGGGATGTACTAGCGCGCTATATCTAGGGTAATCCTGCCGTAATCCCTTAAAGCCAATAGCCTCGCGTGGCTATACGCAGGGTGATTCTATTTTCTAGAAGGGTCTATTCCCTTGGATAGGATAAACCTGGTTACTTGATGTACTCTTGAAGTATAAAAATGCCTTGCATCGATCGATAGTGCAACTTTTCCTCGACACATTTGATCCTGTGATACTTGGTAATCAGAGCTTTTCTCACTCACCCGCGCTCAACAAAGCAGCAGCAGCGTGAAAACCTGCGTCGAAAAACCGCCGGGGGCGACGAATTCGGCGCCGATTCTGGTAAGCACCAGTTCTGCGTTTTGCGAATAACCCCCCCCCCCCCCCCCCCCCCCCCCCCCCCCCCCCCCCCTGCGCGTGTTTTGAACAGGATGGCGACCCTCGACAACGCCGAGGTTACCCAGCAGCTCTTCGCGAGCATCGCAACCCTTCAGGAGGAGATGCGAGCGGATCGCGAAGCGTGGCGAAACGAGTTCGAGCGAGTAACTCGACTCGCCGGCGTGCAGCACGACTCGACAACGGCGACAACACAGCAGTTGCAGCAGTTTCTCGAGGCTCCGAAACTGCGCCCACCTGAGCCGTTCGATCCGAGCGATCAAAACTCCGACGCCCGCAGATGGATCGCCGAAATGGAGACCTACTTCGCAGCCATCAGATGGAGCTCGCCAGTCTGGGATGGACAACGCGTACGACTCGCGGCAACGCTGATGCGAGGACCGGCACTCGAGTGGATTGGCGGCAACAGCACCTTCATCTACGGTGAAGCCACGTGGCAGCACTTCCGCACCGACCTGCTGAAATGCTTCGAGCCAATAAATCCAGGTTTCCTTGCCCGGGAGAAAATTCATCGACATCGACAGTTCGGGAGTGTAGCACAGTACACGCAGCAGATGGAAGAATTTTATAACTGAATTCCTGACCTGACTGAAGGGGAAAAAGTACAGTCTTATCACGCCGGGCTGAAGACAGAAGTCAAACGACAAGTAGCAGCGTCAAACTACGCGAGCTACAGTGACGTCGTTTCGGCAGCGGAGCGCTTCGACATGGTCAACGCCGGGACACGACAGGCGCACGTTGGCAGTACGCGACAAGGCGACCGCTCGGCTCACACCACGTTCGCCGACCCGATGGAAATCGACAGGTTCGAGGGGCGGCCACGTCCAAAAAACACCAATTACACGTGTGATTTTTGTGGGGTGCCGGGCCATTGAATCTTCGACTGCAACAAAATGAAAGCTGCACGAGCAGAGTATCGGGCACGCAACAGTGGCGGAATCCCTTCGGCAAATCAGAAGACAAAAAATGGGAGTCGCCAGTGAGTATGGAAAGAAACCGACCTTTCCACGGAGTCAACGTCCTCTCCCGACACCAGCCCACAATGACTACCCCTTCCCCAGGGAAGACGTCGGTAGAGCTGAAGCAGCTCAAGAGGAAGCTGGGAGTCTACAAGAAGCAGCAGAAACCCCGAACTCCTCCTCCAGATGCATCCAGCTCAGCAACTTCGGCATCAACGACGCGCACAGTCGTCAAGGAAACTCTGGGCCCTGGAGAAGAGCCGTTCTCCACGCAGCCTTTGCCAGCTGCCAGCTCAGGAGTAGATAGCAACGAAAAGGTGTGTACGGAATATTGGGATGTATAGTACCCTACGACCCTATTAATGAAACTATCTTTGGGTACTCTTAGCAATGCCCGCCCCTCGTGCTCGAGGTCATCTGCAAAGGACGACGCCTCCAAGCACTTGTGGACAGTGGAGCATTGCACACCGTTTGCGACAAGGCACTAATCGACCGACTTCGAGAAGAGTACAAGCCTCCAATATTCTCTGCAACGATGGAGGACGACAGCAAGTTACCAGTACACGGTGAAGCAATGTTACACCTACAAATTGGACCACTGCGCTGGAGACCTGCACTCCCCATCACCAACATAAAAGGGCTTGACCTGATCTTCGGAAGAGACTTCCTCAAAGGATTCAACCTGGAAATCAACAGGGTGAACCGCACCGCAAGCATCTACAACAATGGAAGGAGAGTCGAGCTACCCAGCTGGGACGATACATGAGATATCCTAGTGGAGACACTCGCACGATTCGAGAAGGACGTGAAGCGAACCGACACCGGGTTCCTGGCGATAGCAACAGAGGTGGAAAACGACAAGGAGAAGACCTCGGAACCTCCGGGAAAAATCAAGGAATTACTGAAGGAGTTCCAAGACATTCTTCCTGACGATCTTCCGAACGAGCTACCGCCATACCGAACGCATCAACACGAGATCGTGGAGGAACCAGGTTCGAAGCCGACCTTCCGAGCACCATATCAGCTCAGCCCCACTGAGCTGACCGACATGAAAAAACAGATCGAGTATCTCCTCGCCAAAGGACTCATCCGACCATCCACTTCGCCATACGGTGCCCCAGTGCTCTTCACACCGAAACCGGACGAAAGCCTGCGCATGTGCATCGATTACCGAGCTCTCAACAAGCAGACCATCAAGAACAAGTACCCAAAACCATGAATCGATGACCTACTTGACCAGCTTCGAGGAGCTACGGTATTTTCCAAATTGGATTTGCGGTCCGGATACTGGCAGATACGAATGGCGGAAAATTCCATCCACAAAACTGCCTTCCGAACTCGGTACGGGTCGTACGAGTATTTGGTAATGCTGTTCGGACTCACCAACGCACCCAAAACGTTCCAAGCCGAAATGAACCACATTCTACGGCCACTCTTGGACGAATGCGTGGTGGTGTACGTGGACGACATCCTCATCTACTCGCGCGACATGAAGCAGCGCATCGAACACCTGCGACGCGTCTTTGAAATTCTTCGACGAGAGCGATTTTACGTAAAATTGTCCAAGAGCGAATTCGCCCTTGAGAAAGTCCAATTCCTATGACGCATGGTGAGCGCTCAAGGAGTTCACGTCGACCCCAAGAAGATCGAAGCTGTAGGTACGTGGAAGACATCCGAGAACGTGAAGGAGTTGCAGTAATTCCTAGGCTTCGCTAACTATTACAACAGGTTCGTGCCTCAATACACAAAAATTGCGACACCACTCACGAATCTGTTGAAGAAGAACACGCCCTATAAGTGGGAACCAAAGCACTAGGAAGCCGTGGAGCAGCTAAAACAAGCACTCACGTCCGCACCTGTACTCATCTTGCCAGATCCTGAACGCGACTACGTCATCGAAGCTGACGCCAGTGACCAGGCAGTGGGAGAAGTCTTGATGCAAGACCAAGGAAATGGACTGCAACCAATCGCCTACCTCAGCAAGAAACTACATGGGGCAGAACTAAACTACCCGATACACGACAAAGAGGCCCTTGCTATCGTCATCGCCTTCAAAGCATGGAGATGTTATCTCGAAGGACGAAGAACAACCGTCTACACCGACCACTGCAGCCTGAAATACTTGAAGACACAACTAAACCTCTCCAGGCGGTAGGTCCGGTGGATTGACTTCCTCGAGACACACTTCCACTACGACATCGTGTACAAGCCCGGCCACAAAAAAAAAGCGGACGCCCTTAGCCGGCCTGCACACATTGCCGCTATCCAGGTTGAGGGGATGAATCCACTACTCAAGGGACTCTTTACACACGGGTACACCATCGACCCCGAAATCTCCTTGGCAGAAAAACGACATGTGCTACAGTGGAACAGTGACATCGCGTACCGGAAAGGATAAAAAAAAATCTGGGTACCCAATTAGCCTCCTTTGCGCCAGTTACTACTCGAAGAATACCACGATGTCCTATACGCAGGACACTTCGGTAGCAACAAGACGCTGACCGGTATCGCGAAGCACTACTACTGGCCCCACTTGGCAGAAGATGTTAAGGAATTTGTCACCTCATGTGATACATGTTAACGAATGAGCAGCAAGCAGAAGCAGGCGGGACTACTACAACCTCTTCATGTCCCAGAACAACCATGGCAAGTGGTTAGCCTGGACTTCATCACCGGGTTACCACCTACCACAAGCGGTCATGACGCAATTCTTGTCGTCATCAACAAGTTCTCCAAAATGGGACACTTCATCCCGACACACACGACAGCACATACAGAAGAAACAGCACAACTCTTCGTTCGCTACATCATCTCACAACATGGCATTCCAACTACACTCATCTCTGACCGAGACCACAAGTTCACCAGCAAGTTCTGGAAGGAACTAATGTCTCTGCTCGGGACCAAACTCGCCATGTCATCCGCCTACCATCTGCAGACAGACGGACAGACCGAGCGCCTCAACCAGATTGTCGAGCAACTCCTCCGAGCAGCCTGCAAGGACGAGATCTCCAAATGGGACTTGCACCTGCCCGTACTAGAGTTTGCTTACAACTACGCTACACACGCCGCTACTGGACAAATGCCGTTCTTCCTCTGCTACGGACGCCACCCACTCACACCACAAAAACCGACAGCATCAGCTACAGTCCAACCTGGACACGATTTTATCACAACCATGCATCAGCTTTGGGATAGGACCCACAAGCGCCTCCTTGACATTCAGCAGCAACAGAAGCGCCAGGCCGATTGCCATCGCAACGACCACACCATTACCATGGGAGACCAGGTGCTCCTCGACACCCGCAACCTTGACATCAGTCATCTCCCATCTAAACTTCGACCTCGCTTCTGCGGGCCTTTCCTCGTTGAAGCACACGTCACTCCTGTTACCTTCCGCTTATGCCTGCCAGCTACCTGGAAGATTCACAATGCCTTCCATGTCCAACTTTTGAAGCCCTATCGGGATCTGAACACGACCTTCGTGGGACGCCAACCGCCGCCACCGCCGCCCGTCCTCGTCCAGAATGAAACCGAGTACGAGGTCGAGTCCGTGCTTGCACACCACCGTCATCGGAACGGCACCGTGGAGCTTCTTATTCATTGGAAGGGTTATGATCCTTCTGAGGACAGCTGGGTACCTGAGATCGACATGGGTAACGCCCGTCATCCTCTTCATGACTACCTTGTCAAGCAGGGTGTCACTTCTACCATGCAGCTTTGAGGGGGGGAAGTGTGAGAGTACGACCCCATTACACCACTTGTCCTTTCCTTATTTCCTTTTTTTTTTTTTAATCTTTTAATCCCATCTCATTTGGTTTCCTATTCTCCATTTTCCATTATCCTTTGGTTTATCCTGCTATTATATTTATATCACCGACCAGGCTCGGGATGTACTGGCGCGCTATATCTAGCGTAATCCTGCCGTAATCCCTTAAAGCCAATATCCTCGCGTGGCTATATGCAGGGTGATTCTATTTTCTAGAACAGTCTATTCCCTTGGATAGGATAAACCTGGTTACCTGATGTACTATGGAAGTATAAAAACGCCTTGTATCGATCGATAGTGCAACTTTTCCTCGACACATTCGATCCTGCGACAATTTCTGTGACTACGTTTGTGGTAACGTTACTGTGGTGTGGTTTCTGTGAGAGCATATATGTCGTGTGGTGTCTGTGGGAGCGTTCGTGTGGGTGCGTGTCGGCGGGACCGTATCTGTGGGAGTGTTTCTGCTGACCTTAAGAATGGCTTTTTCGGGTCGGAAATCTTGCAGGTCGAGGAGTTCAACAAGGACAAATCTACAGATGGAATCCACATTGCCGGCGCCAGTTTTTTGAACAGCCTGAAGGATGTTGGGCGCAGGATTGTGGCCGAAGATCTAGCCATGATGTGGGTCCACTGCGACAAGCATCCCTTCACAGGAGGCGTGTGTCCTTGTACCTGCCCGCGGCATCCATACGTCCAGGCTTCCAAACTGTGCAATGAGACGCTGTTCCAAACGTGGGCGATTGAAGTGGCGTCGAGGGACGCATACGGGATCTGGCTTCGATTAGACATCACCTTGTTGGCAGAAGCGGTTAGACTTCTTGGCATCTACTAAGATTCTAACCCACCATTCCTACAGAGCGTTTGGTGACGTGCTTTCCCCTTTTTGCAGGAGATTCTCAAACAGACGAAGGGCGATCATACGATTAATATGTTAAACGCCCAGATGATGCTTCTGCACGAGGACAGGGGAAAGCTGGGATCTGAGAAGGACCATATAGCAAAGGAGAACAGGCAGATGAAAGCGACGATCAAGGCAAAGGATGCGATCATTATGGAGAAGGATGAGGCGTACGCCATGCTGAAGCGGGCCTACGATGCACTGGAGAATGCGTCTGGCGTGACGAGGAAGTTCTCTGTGGCCGCATCTGCGGTAGGTGCTCCACCACCAGGGGACCAGGGGTACCACAACGCCGTCGTTGGGCCATGGCGGGACAGTAAGACCATGGACGATGCATGGCCGTACTTGGACGGGCCAAACCCGCTAGTCAAGGGAAAAAGTATGTGAAAAGTGGCCAGCTCGCAGAGAGGTTTTTTCTGCAAGTTTGGCAAGTTTGTGGATTCATCACAGAAGGGCAAGCCTATGGAGACGTCTTCGATTGTGGGACAAAACCAACAGATAAGCAGCAAGTCTGCAGACTTTGCACTAAGGGCAAAGCGACCGCGAACTCTGTCGACGGATAATGCCGCAGAGACGATTTCTGCAGAGGTGGGGGGGGGGCTTCAAGATGGGCAAGGCTGCATGGGCGAGCTTTGCAGCAGGCAAGAAGAAGGGGAAGGACGCAAATTCAGTAGATGCGAGCACCTAGAAGATGCGGAGAATGAAGATTCTCATGGACGCTGTGGACTTCTTTTGTAGAAGAGACCTCGATAGAACAACTGTCATCACGCAACTCGACAAGATATTGGCCAAGAGCACGCTGTCAGCAATGACCGAGGGACTCATCCTCCGTGACATTCGGCAGACTGAAGAGACAAACCCACAGCTGAAGAAGCCGCGGGCCGCTGCGAGAGGAAGCAAAGAGAAGTTGGAGAAGCAAATGCATATCACCTTCCATCTCGTCAAGGCTGGTCTACGGGACACCACCTGGGCAGAGGGTTGGTTCGGACAGCGTGAATGGCTGGCTTTCTCCGTGCCATTGGAGGAGAACCTTCCGCTAAGAAGTCGTCTGCCGACTCGGAACCTGCAGACTACATAGCTTCGTAAATTCGGTATGTAGAGTACATGTATGGTAAGTTGGCAACTTTGTCGCATGGATTTTTTGGCGGATCGCCGATCTGTTTTCTGTGGATTTTTCTCTGGATTAGGAGCTTAGCTTTTGCGAGAAGGAAACTAGAATCTAGAAAAAAAACATACACACCATAGACATGTGTACAGACAACAAACAACACACGCATATCCTACAGTTGAGGAGAGACATATGTACCAGGAGTTTCTACAAGATTGCGTAGCACAGAACGTGCACAATAGGTCACTATATATGGTACAAGTTGCTACTCTAAGAATAGAAGCCGGCCCGATAAGGCGCTAGTCTTCCTGAGCAGGGCTGCAGATGGTTCCTCAATCTGCTTCCTTTTCTTGCGCTCTTCCTTGATGACGATAAGAGGGGGATGGCCTTTCTTCTCCAAGGCCGCAGAAGCGATTGAGCATGAGCACCAGGATGTGGCCACCATAACGCAGACTTTGGTGATGTTGGGCAGCACCCTCTCCATCTCGTCTCAATTATTCAGCAGGCGATTCTCCGCAATCAAGCCCTTCTTGATTTCTGGCCATAGAATAGTAAGCCAGTCTGGCTTGATTTTGCCTTGCCCCTCGAACAATTTCATGGCAGTTAGAGTTATGGCAGAAACCAAGGTGCAGAGTACAGCATCCAGCTTCACCAGCTTGTCCACCGTCGCCAACTCTGCGGCGGTCGCTGCCTCCTCCACACGCTTGGTCTCATCCAAGCCCCTGATGGCAGCCCACATGGTGCAAAGTGCTGCAGCAAGTGCTGGCTGATACTAGCCGGGGGTCATCCCTTGGGGCGTCTTCGTGAGTTTAGCCTTGTGCTTTGAGGCCACGCGAGCGATGGCAGCACAGAGAGCTATCTCCTTCGGCACTGGTTCAGCTCCATTCTCGTATGACTGCTGCAGTTGAATAGCAAGCGCCCTCATTTTCTGGAAACTGTGGCACGGCAGAATGGCAGAGGGCAGCAATAGAAATTGTATTAAAAACACCTTGTTAAGACACAATCACAGAAGCGATGGCACGACAGATGGAACATAATATGCCGAGCGGATTTTAGAAAGAAGAGTAACGTACTGTTCTTTGCGGCAAACACCCAAGTCGTTGGCGACGCTCCATACACCAATCGGCATCTCTTCGGCAGCAACTTCAAGTCGTCCGCCCAGCTCGGGATCGGTGCTTCGTTGAAGCTCTTGTAGTCGGAGAACTTGGCGTCCAGGTGGTAGGCGGACCAGCAGATAGCTGTGAGAAATTGTTGCTCCTCCTTGGTGGTGCACTCAGCCAGGTTGCATTTCCTCCCGCCGACGGTCGGCTCGGAAGCGAACCTTGAAGGACCCGCAGAAATGCCCTTATCGTAAATCCCCCCCTGCCCCTTGAAAGGATGCGTGATGCCTCGCGACTTCCCATCATTTTCGTCGTCCTTGACCGGCAGCCACCTTCTGCTTCTTTCCAGCTCGCTGTCCGCCCTTCTTTGACCCTGTGGCTCTCTTCTTCGGGGGCGCGGGGGATTTTTGTTGGGTTTCCTCAGCAGCTGGCGCAGATTTCTGTGGGGATTTCTCAACTGTCTTCTTCAGACCCAGAGATTTGTCTGGGCTTCCTTCTGCCGTATCCAACCCAGTGGAATATTTATGTGGCGTATCTTCCAGGGATATCACTTCTGCCATTGACTTTTTCCGCGGTGTCGAAGGGTGCGACGTCGTGTCCTCTTGTTGGATGGAGGTGTCTGCAGGGCCCGCGCCCTCTGCCACGCCCACATCCTTTGCAACTGCGACTCTCGGTTCCATTTCTGCCATTACCTTCTTTCCCGAATCCTTCGCGTAACTAGACTGCAGCCTTAGCATCTGCTGTTGCACAAAGCTGATCACAATGTCTGATGGGCCAGTCTGCAGGGAAGGTTGAGATGTAGCAAGTCGTTTCTGTCCCGAGTCTTTGGTGTTTGTAGAATGCAGCTCCTGGAACCGTTTCTGCAGACTGGTTAAGCCATCCCCTTCACGGGATTGTGCGGGAGATTCCTTCTTCGCGGGAGAATGACCGGCACCCTCTTCAGCTACGGATGAGCCTCAAGTAGTGGGATATGCCTGGGTTGCTGCAATCGACCAGCCAGTTTTCCTACCTCCCGGAAGGCGGAGTTGTTTCTGGGTTACTATGGTCGGTTCCTGTGGGATTGCCACTGGCTCCTTGTCTTTCTTTGGCCCTTAGTGCATTGCTGCAACACCAAAAGATTCGAGAAGGCGCTCGCGAATCGCCCCAAACCCAGGCGTCATCTCTGCGGCTGCCAAATCTGCTGCTATTGCGGGCGTGAGCAGGTCCACGGCCACCTTCGCTGCAGCAACTTTGTCCAACCCAAGCGACGAGACATCGACTGGTGGAGGGGCAGAAGTTGTCGTCTCTAACCCCTTCTGCTATTTCTGCTCCCCCCTCTGCGATTCCTGCTGCAAACCCTTCTGCTGCTCCTTTTGCGGCTTCAGCTTCGGCCCCTTCTGCCCCTTCCGCTCCTTCTGTGGCTTCTACTGTTGCCCCTTCTGCTGCTCCTCCTGCGGCTCCCGCAACTTCGGTTTCTGCTGCTTCGGAGTTGTGGCACCCGCAGAAGGGGCAGTAGAAGGTTCGGGTGTTTGTGTGGCCGCTTCCAGCGTAGAAAGCGCTGTTTAAACCGCTTCGATAACCTGGCTTTGTACAACTGCCAGGTACTCATCGTTGAGACTGACTTTTAACAACCCCTGATCTGCACCCCACATAAAGGCCTCCTGCATCCCAGCTGTGATTTTCCCGTCCAGAGATTCCCGTAGAGTTTCGTTTGACAGCTCTACTACCCCCTGGGCAGTTGTCTCTAGCTTTTCCGTCTGCTTGTCGATGGCCCTTTCTAGCGCTGACTGCCTCTCAGCAACAAGAGTCCTGTCGTCAGCGAGAGAATCGACCGCTGCCTGACA